CTCCTGATCTCTCTCATCCTTGAAAATCAGTCGGGCCCTCTTCCAGACCTCCACCTCGGACTCTGAAAACAGCTCTGAAGGAGATGACATATCATCAGAACTGTAGTCGTCTTGAAAATCTGCCACAGTATCGTGAACATCCACCACCTCGTCTGCCAACTCATCCATGCAATGCATCAACTTGCATATCAATTGTGAAAGTTGGTGGAGACCAGCAGAGACCTCCACACTGCTGATCACCTCACTCGTGGTGACCCCCTTGTTGAATGAACAGGTGGTTTTCTTAATCTTGCAGTGAGAGCAAGTCCACCCTCAACCGGTGCCTTTGGTTATCAGGCATGCATAACACTGGGCACCATCTTGACGACAGCGCACACAACTCCCTAAAAACAAAAAAGCTAAGTTGAGCCATGAAAGAAAACCAAGACACTTACTTTCACTATCCAACAATTCCTCGCCCTCCGCCGGTCCCACCACTTCCAACTTTGTCACTTTTTAGGGCTAACAACCACCTCTGTCCCACTGCTATCCACTATGCTCCTCGACCTAAACTTGCATTTATGGCCTTTCTCCACTGGATCCGCTGCCTTTCTCTTCTCCTCCCACACCCTTTCCTCCTCTCTAGAGTCCCTTCAGATTCCTCGGACTCATCATCTCTCTCAGTCCCCTTGTCCTGTTCATCATCAGATTCTGGAGGCGTAGGGTGAGTCACCTTCTTGAAGCAAAGACCGGGACCAGGACCAAACCATTCCACCAACACTTGATGCAGCCAAAAATCAACAGCCTCTGCGGGGGTCATTTGCAATCCATCCTCTATAACCATCCCCTCCAGCTCTACCTCCTCAGCCTCAGCCCTTGTCACTGCCTCTGTGGCCTCCATCTCCTCAGCTTCTCTCTGAGCCGCCTCTTTCAACGCCTCCTCTGCCTCCTTAGCCTGCCTCTCCGCAGCCTGCTGAACCTCTGCCTTCTTCCTCTCCAACTCCTCCCTCTGCTCCTTTTTCCATGCCTCTCAGGCCACATGGTCCATCCAGACTCTTTCCTCCCACTCCCACTCCTCTTGCCATTCCAAATGGCTCTCTACAGCCTCCACATATTCTTCCTCCATGGTTCGCCATTTCAGACGAAACAATTCCTTGGCCTCTTCAGGGCCATCGGGGGTGGATCCCCTCACCAAAGGCTTGGGAGTGTGTGAGCGATGATACATGGTGAGCAATGACATAGGCAAAGATGGTGGTTTCAGATCAAGCTGAAAAAACTCCTATGGCCACCAACAATCTTCCATGTGACCCCACCAGCCATTGGGATCTGCACTCTTGAGGGCAAGAATGCTAAGAGGGGGATACTGTTATGCACATGCTGCTGGCCTCTGTATCACCTCAACCAACCATGAATCCAATCACACTACCCACTGGACTCCGACCGCTTCCCATTACCTACTAATTTCATTTCACCAGTATCATTTCACATCTGTATTTCACATTGTAATATCTAGATCTCAAACTCAGTAATGAATACCGACACCAGAACCCAATGGAATCCAACTCGGAATTAGCTACTATTAGTATATAAAGCCATGTACATCATCATAGCTACTCAGTTCGAATATCAACTTGGATAAGCCATCTACACTTCACACTCACCTCAACTCCTCCTTATCTTGTCCGTCAGATTCCGCTCTGAAGAATATTCCTGTTCACTTCTCTGACAGAACTCTGTTCCACCCATCCAGATCCTTGGGCTCCAACTCAAGGGTGACGTTGCCAATAGCTTTGTCGATGCCCATGCACTCCACCGGACTCCATGCATGCATTCAAGCCTACTCAATTGGCACGTTCCTAACAGATCTCGCCCATCTATCTTTGCTTGTTGTATAAACTTTTTTGGGCCATAGAGTTCATCGAGCCACTCCAGGGCTCAGCACTACTCTGCCTTTCTTATTTCTTCAATCATTTTGTCTACAACTTCTTCGGCCCTGGCCCAGTGAATCTAATTCTTTAGTATGGCTTTTGCCATGGCCTCATTTTTGGCTTTCTTAATGGCTCTCCAAGTTCATTCGGTATCAAATGGCTTGAGCCACTCAGAGGGGCCCTCTGCTCCTGTTTGACCCAGAGGCACTTGAGTTTCTTTTTGCAATTCTTTGGTGTGCATGGTAATACTTGGTATATTCAGATGTGTAGATATAAGAGTAACTACAGAAGTACTATCAGTCTGTCTAGCAGCTGGGATTTGCACACCATGAAAGTCCTTGGCTGACTCAGTGGAATCACTCACTGGTCGGCCTTGTCTTTTACTTTCTCCACTTTGGTCTTCATGCCAAGTTCTTCTTCTTCCTTCTGCAAGTTGGTGATTTGCACGTGGATATCTTCCCTTGTTCACTTCTTCTTTGGGCAGTCCTTAGCCATATGTTCTTTTAACCCACAGTTGAAGCACTTCTCTTCCTTTTTTATGTGGTCGATGTCTATCAGCTTCCTAGATCTGGTATATGTGATTCCAGTGCCCATCTTCTGAGCATTATAGGAGGTCGAGGTCATTGAGGTTCCTTGTGGTTTTCTGGCAGTTGTCTCTGATTTGTTTGGGGTTTGTAGTGTTGTCTTCTTGGGTCCATCCTGGAACATCATGAACTCCGCTTTCTGCCTTTGCCATTCCTTGTACATCTTGATGATCCATTCTTTCCATTCATTGTACCTGATTGGCATCAAATTCTTGATGCTGATCATGAAGATCATCATGATGTACGAAGGAGAAACTCCTCATTTGAGGGCCTCAACCATCCTGCTGGTATTCCCTGTATCTTCCCTAATCCCAGTGAGCTTAGTAAGCCTCTCTAGCTCATCAAAGTAGTCTGTCGCCACCTTGTCAGCTATCTTGTATTCCTTGATCTTTTGCTTGTGTATCTTCTGTACTGCTGGATCAATGAATTTGTCATTAAGTATCTGCTTGAAGACCAGCCAGGACAGATATCAGTAATGGTCCCGAGTGGCAGAGTAGAAGTTTGGGGATATAAGAATCCACCATGTTTTGGCCTTCTCCTCAAGGTATGAGGCCATGAATGCAACTTTGTTCATGTCTGTTCTGAGATATCCTGTATACACCTCAAAGTATTACTCACAGTCTACCAGAAAACAGTCAATATTGTTGGAAGCCCCTTTGAATGGTCAGGGCTTCCGAAGGAGATCAGGTCGACATTGAAGGATGGTGGCATCATGGGGCAGGACCTCCATTAGATTAGGATACTCATCAAATGGAGGTCAGTGCCACTCAATTGATAGCCTGGGGAATGAATGTAGAGAATGGTCATCAGCAATGGGACTCCCTTGTGGAAGAGCATCCTTTCAGACAATTACTCCATCTCAGATAGTGAAACTGAGCTGTACTGCTTCAGGATTGTCACAGACTGGCTCCTTTCTGGTACTGCTCTCTGTTGCCTCATCAGGTGAGGGCTGAGCCTCTAGAAGTCAGCTTCCTTTGCTGGTCCCAGGATTTCAGTACCCACTAGTTTATCCTTCTGGCACTCCTTGGGATCAGGACAGCCAGGTTGCCATTGATTAGGAGAAGGATGCAGAGTATGAATATGTGCTCTGGATTGATAGGGCTGAGTATACAGCCTGTTTCAGGGTGACAGGTGGGGTCTTCAGCATTGGTTGGATATTTGTCAGCATCTGATATGCTGGTGGTCACCAGACTTGATCTTCTGGATGCTTCTTGTTGTATTGGTTTGCCACATAGTCCATGGTGGCATACCTCAGCATTTCTGTTTATTCATCAGTAGAGGAATGCAAATATAATTGTCCTAGTTGTGATGCTATCCAGGTAGCATCATGCCATAAAAAGTTCACTCTCTACAGGTAATACTCCTGGTATTCCTGTGTCCTTACCCTTGCTACTTCCCATTCCAGTTCTTCTTCATCTGTTATTTCTTCCAATCCATACCTGAGGACTCCACCAGGACAGGGCAGGTCACTGCTTTCAGTTTTCTCAGCCTCCTTGTCATCCTCTTCCTCCTCAAGGAGGGAATCGGTAGGCAGGTCGTAGGGTCCCTCGTCCTCTTTCAGTTGTATGGTCATTGTGCTGCTCTGGCTGGGTGCTCAGCCCAGTGGTTGTAGTATTTGGTGTATCATCATAGGCAGCAGTGGGTTGGCTGCCGATATTAGAATTGTACTGGTTTCTGCCAGTTGCTCATGCCGCCTCCACTCACTCATGATAGAGGCAGATGTTCAGTCAGTAATCATTGTTGATAAGCTGGCCAATGACCTGACTTCTGAGAAATCCTTGGAGGGCATGAGCAGGGATATGGGTATTGCTAGGAACTCGAAGCCCATAATATCTGAGGATAGACTCATCACTCCCGATGGCTGAGTTGGTGCTGGGAGTTTTCCAGGAAGAGGGATATTCTGGGGTTGGAAGGTGCTGGTTCCAGTCAAGGGTCCCACTCCTGGATGAGCTGAGCTCTCTAAAGACTGGAGTTGAGAGGGAGCCATCTGCTCATACTGGGGCAAGGACACTGTGGACCTCAGGTCAAAGTCCATACCAGTTGGTGATATCAGCTCTGGTGAGCCTGTCCCTTTTCACTTCTTGCTGATGGTCTTAGTTCTGCTCATCATACTAGGCAGCCACTCTCCTTTGGAGCTCCTCCTTCTCCTTGTGGCAGTCCTCATGCTCTCCATGTACTGGCTGCAGCTTATTTTGCTGCCTATGCTTCTCTTGTCAGACAGCATTGTCATAGTTAAAGGAGACTGTAAGGTCTCAGATGGAGAAGTACCAGTGGATGGTTTCCTCTCATACTCATCATTGTTGCTCTTTGTCATTTTGGGGGTCCCTCCCTATCCATGGGCTGGCTCAAGTGGTAGGGGTGAGGCTGTGAGGCTGGCTGCAAGGAGTCAGAGGTTGGAATCATTGAGCTAGCCAAGCAGCATCAAAAGAGTCTCAGGCATGGTCAGCAATCCTATGGGTTCAGGAGGCTGAAGAGGGGTTGGAGGAGGAGGACTGTTCAAAGAAGTCCTCTAGAAGATCCTGGTCTTCGCCATAGAGGACCACATCTGGTACAAAGATCCTGTGTCCTCCTGGGATGCAAGAGTGCTAGTTTCCAAGTCAGGGGGAGTGTTGTCCTCCTGCTTCTTCTTGACCATCCTCCTGATGCGAGCTGCTAGACCTGGCTTCTGAGGGCTGGTAGGTTGTTCATCAGAATTTGGGGATGTCATGTAGGAGGAGGTCTGGAGTTACATTGCATAAGATTTCTCAAATATATAGAAACTCATTGTAATGTCTGAGAGCCCAAGCAGTGATTGAATGGCATCTCTGGCATAGCTGGATGATCACCAACAATCCTATTAATGTTCTGATGATGGATGAGAGGAGTTCAAAGAACTTGTGGTCAAAATTCAGGTCAGTAGAGATTGTGGGGGGCATTTGGTTTCTCAGCACAATTAGACTTAAAAAAGAGAAGTTGAAGCTTCGAGCTAATTGTTAGGCCCAAGCATCATGTAAACTGATACACATGATAAACAGGTGTCCTTTTGCACTTTGAGGGATCAGCTGAGTCCACTGAGTGTATATCTGTTCAGTGTATCATAAGATCAGACATTGACTTGAGGTAGAATGGTGGTTATAAATTTTAGCTTGAAGCTGAGATATATCAGTGAGAGCTATGAGTCTTAAGTACTGTACAGGCTATGCTAATAATACTCTGGCTAATTGTGTCTTTCTGTGTCCATGGTGCTCATTGTCCTTGAGCATTATTACCATACATAAAAGGTCGATTGTGCATCATCAAGCACTGTTGTCATGCATCAGTGAGCGAATGACAAATGAGCTGATTGTGATGATTAAGCCCTTCCCATGACTTCTGTTTGATGTCTTGACTAAGCATAAATAGGGGTAAAAGATGAAGAAGAAGAGAAAATAAAGGGGAAAATCATAACATCTGCAAGTTCGGTAACCCACTGCACTTGTCTGTGGATGAGTTTCTGTAGCTTCTTGAAGTACTAGAGGTTTTAGTGATTCATTCAGATTTCAAAGTTGAGTTTGGCATCTATAAGATAGTGCTGCTATTCTTCCAATGTGAGCATAATAGCAAGGAGTTCTTTATCATAAATTTCATAGTTGTGCTCTGTTGCCGAGAGCACCTTTGATAAAAATGCAACTGAGTGCTATTTGTCATTCTGTTTTTGTGACAAAATGGCATCAATTGCCCTCTCACTAGAATCCACTTCTATATGGAATTGATTGTCATTGTCTGAGATGGTGAGGACAGCATCATCTCAGACATTTTTTTTAATGGCAATAAATGCCACTGACTGAGCCAGTCTCCAGCTCTATGGTTCCTTTTCTGTGAGTGCAGTCATTGGTCATATGATTTTTGAGTAGTCATGGATAAAGTGACAATAGAAGTTTGTGAACCCCAGAAATGACTGGAGTTTGGTTTTTTTCAATGGTGCCAGCCAATCCATGATGCTGGCAACTTTGACTGGGTCCATTCAGACCACCTCTTTGCTGATGATCACTCCAAGGTACTTAGTTTCAAGTACCTCAAACTCACACTATTTCAGTTTAAGAAAAAGCTTTTATTCTCATAATATTTGCAGGATCTCTTGAACAATCCTGTGGTGCTCCATCAAGTCTTTGGTGAAGATGAGAATATCATCAAGGTAAATGGTTACCTTGCCATGGGTGATGAGGTCTTTAAAGATGTCATTCATCATCCACTGGAACATTGCTGGGGAGTTCATCAGCCCAAAGAACATAACAAGTGGTTCGAACAGGCTATAGTTGGTTCAGAATGCAGCCTTCCACTTGTCCCCTTCTTTGATGCAAACATTGTTGTATCCCTATTGGATGTTTAGCTTGATGAAGTATTTTGCCCCCTGAAGCTTATCTACCAGATTGGCAATAAGTGAGAGTGGATAACAGTTTTTGACTGTCATCTCATTGAGTTTTCAGTAATCTTGTACTGGCTGGAGTTTCCCATCCTTCTTCTTGACAAAGAAGAAGGGTGATGCTATGAGCAATTTTAAGGGTTAAATCTGGCTGAAGGTCAGATTTTTGTCGAGGAACTTGTTGAGCTCCTCTTGCTTATTCAGGCTGAGTTAGTAGACTTTGCAGTCCAAACTAGCCTTTGCATTGGAGACCAACTCAATTGTGTGGTCCTAGAGTTTTCTTGGGGAGAGTTCATCAAAATTTTCTTTGGTGAACACATCCCAGAATTTCTAGTATTGACTTAGAACAAGATCATCAAAAATCTTGTCCCTCTTGGCAAGATTGGCTTTAGTGGCCAACTCATTGCTCTTGCTGTCCATCATGTAAATGTGAATTGTTTTTTCTACATCCACAAAAAGCATCCTGTCCCCCTCTTCCAAATCAGTTTTCCATGGCTCCTTTGGATTATTGTCCAGCAGATAGAATGGCATCTTTCAGCAGGGGCATTGAACTAATGCTATGGTCTCTTTCTACCAATTGATGATGGAGTTATAGCACTTGAGCTAATCATATCTCAGGAACATTTCAGCTGTGCTGAGGTCAGTAACAGTGAGCTCGATTCATTCTTCGTACTTGCCAATTTTGAGTTGGACCTCGATATAGTTGGTAATGTCTCTGTTTTTGTTCCATGAGCCATTTATATTGTACACATAGGACAGTACTGCTGCCTTTCAGATGTTCAGGCCATATTGGTCTATAAAGCACTGATTGATGGCACTAGTGATACAGCCTGAGTCCAGGAGGGCCAAGACTGTGAATGTCTTATGAGTGTCTAATATCTCGATCTGATACTTGATGTTTATAGTTTGGCTGAGACAGCTGCAGATTTGGTAGAGTGCATGTTTGAGCTCATGCAATCATTTTAACTGTAAGTCAAAACAGTCAGAGGATTCAGAAAGTTGGGTAAAAAGTAGGATAGTTTCTTTATCTACTTCTATTTAGTGACATGAATGAGTCCACATCTTGAGTTTCACCATTTTCTCCTCAAGGATAGATGCTTCATAAATAGACTGTAAGGTCCACTCAGCTGTTCAGGGTTTGATCCATCTGGCCTTATTAACTGTCAGGTTTCTTGACTATGCTAGGTCTTTGCAGGCTTTTGGAGAAAGAGCTGGATGCTCTTCCCTAGGCTTAGCCAGTAGGACTACCAGTTTGGCTTTGGGAGGCTCTACATGGCTCTAGAGGAAGGAGGTGTCATCTTCCTCATTGAAAACTTCTTCAATGGTTATCTTGAAGTATCTCTCACTCTATTTGGCCCTCTTGAAGGGCACTTGAGTTTTTTCTGGCTCTTCAGTCTGGTCAGTGGGAGCTAACAATGCATATTTATTAGTAAAAGTAGAAACAATGTCCTTCATAGCTACTTGTCCACTGAGTCCAGACTTATCCTTCCATGGAGAAGCTGAGCTGGCTACTTTCCCATAGGATTTTTTACTTCTTCGATTTTAAAGGTAGCTGCCATAAGTTCCTTTTTCTCGGTGGGCTTTTCTCTCTCTTCTGCTTCTGTGATTGCTTTGAGTAACCACTGGATGTTGGTGGTGCTTCACTTCAGCTTGGACTGTTTGAGGCAGTCCTTGCAGAGATGGCCTTTCTCTCTGCATCTGAAGCACTTTTCTTTCTTCTTCAATTTGTCAATATCTATGGGTTTCTCTTGGCCACCAAACATGGTACCAGTGGTGGTCTTCTTGTCACCAGTAGTATTGCTGCTTGAGCTTGTTGAGTTAGCAGGTTTGGATCCTAAAGAGAATCTGGCAGAAGAGCCAGCCACTTTTGCCTTCTCAGTGACTGGTCAGTTGAATGGTCTAGTGCTATGGGTGACTTCTTGAGTCTAGCACTGGCATTCAGCATCTATGATGAGGATGCATTCCTTCCATTCATCATAGTTGGTCAGCATGAATTTGTTGACTGCACTGATCATGTTGATGTGCTGACAGATAATGCTGGACTTTAATGCATAAACAAGGTTTCCCTTGTTGCTCTTGTCAGTGGTTTCACTAGCAAGCTTCGCCTCCTTTTCAAGTTTGACAAAGTACTCAGCAGTGGTCCAAGTACTCTGCTTGACTTCATACATCTTGACTAGATGTACTTCTTTGATGGCTGGGTCAGAGAATTTGACCTGGAGTTCCTCCACAAATTTTGCCCATATGGGGAACTGATAATGGCTGACAGATTTCAATTAGTATTCTTGTGATTTAAGGATCCATCAGTCCAGTGCCTTTTCTTCGAAAAGGAACATCGCAAAGACTATTTTATATGAGTCCAGAAAGATTGTAGCAGTATGTACTTGGAAGTACATACCATACTGGACTAGAAAGTGGTTCAGATCTTCATACTGCCTCTTGAACAGGGCCAGTTTCTGAATGAATTTTGGGCATATTTGTATCTAAGAGGCATCATCCTCCATCTATCTCATTGGCCATTGAGATAATATCAATGATTGCCACTTATTTGATCCTTGAGGTAGAGACTAAAGACTTCTTCATCTGGCAGGTGTCTCTGCCAAACCCTCACTTAGGCTGCTTGATGAAGATGGTGAGGGTGGTAATTGTACTGGGTCTATCATCAGTAGCTCAGCATTTTGAATGTCTACTAGTGGTGCTGATGATACAATGTTAGCCCAAGAATCAGCTAATAGGTCAGTGGCTGCCAGTAACTGGAAGCTGTTCTGCTATGGATGGTTTGGCATCTCAGACTGAAGTGCCTCTGTGGTATTCATGAGACCATACTATTTGTATTGGTATAGTTTCAGCATTAAATAAGATGAATAGGGATAAAGAGAATTAAAATTAAATATAGTGGTCACCCATATGCTGTATGAAAAAATATCCTCCCAATCTTCTGCCCATAAGGTCATCACTCAGTGATGGCTCAAGTCTCCCTTCCTTCAGCTAATTGAATCTGACAGTGTCACTGCTGCTTCCTTCCAAATCCTCTGAAACTCCTTGGCAAGCCATTGCTCATGCTCACTGAGCATCCTGGTTAGCATGGAGATGCTGCTGTTCAGAGAGGTCACAGGTGTAGGCAACTGTCGAGAACTGGGAGAGAAAGATGATGCCTGGGCAGGTATCTTCTTTTTGCTCCTGTTGGAGTATCTTGAGACTGCAGAAGGTAATCAAGAGGCTGAGAGTGGACACATATGAGCATCTGGAGATCATTGGACTGGAGTCTTGACCAGTCTAGGGGCAGAGTGGAAACTCCTCAGGGCTGAGAGTGTGGGCTGAGGCTGGCTGGCCCTAGAGGCCATGGGCAAGGCTTTTCTCACAGTGAGAGCAGACCTCCAACTGATGAATGAGCCTCTTCTCTTGACTCCTCACATGCTAGACCTCTCACTATTGATGAATCCTGCCAAGAACATCATTGAAGGCGAGGGCAGCAGTGGGATTTGTGCTGCTTCTATGGCAGGGCAGGGAGTAGAGTGGTGGAGAAGTGTTGTTCTCTGGTACTCATCACAGATGGTGTCTGCAGAGGATGGGTGTGGCTTGCCTAGAGCCATGTACTGAGTGGTCGAAGACTGCAGGAGTGACTCTCAGAGTGGAGTCAGGGTATTTGAGCATAAGTGCTCAGGGAATAGGAGTGCAGGCCACTCTTGGTTGTATAGGAGGGTTTCTCTCATGCTCAGGCTTGGACTTAAAGTCCGAGAAGATAATAATTAGGCTATCAGCCCATCCACTATTCAGGCTGGATTCCTGTGGATTCAGTCTGAGACCAAAATGGCCTACTCCTTCTATTGCTTCTCATTCATTATTGGATGAGTCATAGTTGAGGTCATGGGTGACCTCAATCTTGGGCATTTGAGTGCTCTTGAGCCCTCAGAGGATGACTCCTCTTTCAGTGTCAATATCTTGTTCTCAATTTGGTGCATTCAGGAGAGAAAGCCTGACTTCCTCAACATCTGAGAAGTGGGTTGTTTTGACCTGCTCAGGTATGTCGAACATGTATCACATTGACTGGAGTTTATACTGGTGGATGATTGAATATCAAGTCTGCCAGCAGGATTGAGGAATGTGGAGATGGGGACTGAACCAACTGGCTGTCTGTTGGCAGCACCAGTGGATAATCTCTCATCTGTAGATGAAGGAGACATAGAGCATGAACAGTAGAACTGCTGCAGAAAAAAGTAGGATAGCAAGTACAAGTAGAGGAATGTTTATATAGTACTCCTGGCTGTTGTCAGGAGAAGAGCAGGTTCAGCTTCAGACTAATTGTTAGTGACCAACTACTACAAACAAACTAAAACTTAAGGCTATGCTTCGTGTTTAGGCAAGCAGCACTTAAGAAGTCTGAAAAGAGCAAAAAGCATCTCAATCAAGTCAGGTGATGCTAAGAGTTCAGTCAGAAGAGTATTGGAAGAATAAACTTTAGTCTGAAGCTGAGGCTTAAGGCTACAGCTGAGCTACCTTATATATAAAAGAGTGTAGTCTAATAATATATAATGATGGTGTGATGTAAGACCTATAGTCATACTAGAGGTGTCTGATATATGAGTGTCGCAGTAAGGAATATATATATCATTTGTGCATCATATGGTAATAGTTCTGTAATGATATAAATATGTGAGTATTTCAGCATGTTGTGCTACAGAGTGGGGTTGTAGCACAACAAAGATGTAGGAGCAGCATGTGAATGACATGGAAAATGATGTGGGTGAAGAATGTAAAGGTGTGAAATAGTCATATTCATAACACTGTACAGGTATTGTTTTTGATCTTCTTTATATTTGTAAATGTCTTACCTACATGTCATTTATATATTCATGATCAGTTGGTCACTCTCCTCATCTGTTAACTGTGACAGTTGGGATGAGCATTATAATGATTAACACTGTACTTATAACTTACAATATTTCATAATATACTGATATTGTACTATTAGTAACAATCCTCTTTGTACTCAAATTCTTACAGGATGATCCTCTGAAAGTCCCATCCATCAACAGTTTTCATAGTCTTTTTTATGGCTCTTGAAGATGGTCTGCATGACATCTTTTAAATCAGATGGAATAGCTTACTCTTTATCTATACTCATACTCCAAGTAAATCTCAGGTGCAACCAGGACTGAAGTTCTAATGATCTGATGATTGGAACTTTGCCAGAAACATGGCCTTTGGAGTTCTATGAGTAGATATAAGAAAGGGCAGCATCTATGATCATATATGACAGACCTGTTCCATTCCAGAAAGGTTGAAGAGTAGGTCCACTTGGATTATACTTTTTGAGGTTTCACAAAGGAAGGTGGTGTCTTTATTGATTAAACCCAGAGAAATAGCTGAGAATCTATCTGACAAGTACTGAGTGCAACAACATTTACAAACCACTGTTTAATCTGAATGCTGATGAGCATTAAAGGAAGATAGGCTAAAGCAAATGAACCTCATTCTAAAATCTGTATTTCATATCTAAAGTATCTAGGCCTTAAGTTAGTTGCAAAAATGAGCACTATAACTATATCATTACATATATAAAGCCTAGGGGAGTAATTACTCAGCTTTTACAGTTCAATTGAGGCCTCTCTTGTAAATCTTAATGGATAAATAATCAATTGATTAGGACAGTAGTGTAAATAGCTGGTCAAGGTGAATACACCTGAATATATGGCTGGTCAAGGCTGATAACACCTGAAAGGTATGGCCAGCAATGCTCAAAGAGAAGGGCTTAGATGTCTTTGAATGGCTGGTTACTTAACTAAACCAAGTTAGTGCTCCCTCTGGCCTGACACAGGTCCAAAATCTTAAGGGTGCACAAGTAAGGGGTAAAAAAGAAGAGTTGCTTCTATCAACTTTACAAGCTTTATATACTTCTACAAGTATGAGTCAACTCAGCATAATACTGAGTCAGAAATCTAATCTTAACTACAGTGAGTTGCATGAGTCATTAACTACTTGTATAGAGTCAGTAAGCATATGAGTCATATTCTGATGCTATTAATATCTAATTATACACTAAGATGAGTCAAAGAGTCCTTACAACATACAAGACCCTACCATCATCAAATCTGAGATCCTTGTTATCATGCTTGGACTATATAATCAATTGACATCCATGCTAACTGCTGCTTATTCTAGGTATATTGTCAGCAAAAGTGCTGTCCACCACCTCTTCTTGAGTTATTCTTGAAGGCATCAGCAACTTTTCTGTTGACTAGGTTTAGCTGAATTCAAACCTGCCTATTCATATGCTAAATTAATCACACCTCAAGATGCTATCTTCACTGAACTGGTCTTAAGACATTTGTTATGATTTTTCTCTATATCTTTTTCTTTTTTTTATCTTATCAGAATGTCTATCTTATCTTGGGTGCTTTCTTGAAGAGTGTAGAAACATTAGATAATCACAACAGATAGAGTGCCATTGTACTTGATCATCTTACCCACAGACAATTCTCTATTATCCTACTCCCAATGACCAGGCAGGATCTGTTAGACCCAAGCATCATGTGAGTGAAACCACATAATAAACAGGTGCCTCTTCACACTTTGAGAGATCAACTGAGTTCACTGATGCAGTTCCAATCGGTGTGTCATAAGGCCTGAAGATTGGCTTGAGTATAAAATAGTGTGAATAAACTTTAGCTTAAAGCTGGGGACTATCAGTAAGAGTGAGTCTCCTTAAATACTATTACATGGTGTACTATTAATACTTCATACTTATTGTGTATCTCTCTGTCCTTGTCGCTCATTGTCCTTGAGCATTGTTACTGTATATAAAAGGCCAATTGTATGCTTCATTGTTAGACATCAATTGTATCGAAAAACTATGATGAGGCCTGTTGTGATGACTAAGCCTTCCTCATGGTTCTAAGTGCTTGTCTTTGACACCTTGACTAAGCATAAATAGGGGTTTCAAAAAAGAGAAAATAGAAAAAATTGTAACATTACCCTCTTTTTAAGACTATCATCCTGATAGCTTAATTTAGGGAAATTTCATAGTTGTGTATAGCATCATCAGCATTCATCAATTTCTCATTGATCCATTGATTAGATTCTGGGCCATAACCTTTCCAACTGACAAGGTAGTCAACCGTCATTGTTGTTCCTCTGCCTTTTGCCTTGATTTTGCATAGTTTATAGTTCAAGACTTGATCAATTTTATAATGTTCTTCATCATTGATCAGGTCTGGCAGAGGCAGTGGAGGTTTTTCTTGGTTGAAAAAGGCTGGCATGATGTACAGGGAAAGTAGTATCTTATTAAAGATATCATAGATTTTCCAGAACATTGGTAAATAAAGTTTGTAAATACTTGCCCCAATCTTTGAAAGGATTTGGAAAGGTCCAGTTTGTTTGTCAGCAAGTTTCCATTTGAGTTGGAGTAAATAGAGGTTTGTTGTGTCCAGCTATACTTTGTCATTGATAGAGTATTCATGGGCTGGTTGTCAATGTTTATCATACTGTGTCTTCATGGATGTAGCAGCTCATTCCAATGCAGCTTTTGTCTCAGCATAGATTTTTGTCATCATAGAGGTGAAGTCCACTGATGCCGGTGTAGTTGTTCAGTGTTGTTCTGTCTGAGTGACATGTGAGTGTCATTTGTGGTTAATGAAGAATGATGTTTTCCCCATTGCTGAGTGTACATGGTTGTTGTGTTGGAAAGCTGCAAGGACCAACCATTCTGTCCAATCATCCTGTCGATAATTGATAAAGAGTCCAAGGTATTTTTTGACTTCTTGGTTGACATGCTCTATTTGTCCATCAGTCTGAGGATGGTATGCTGTTAATGCATTATACTTAATGCATAAGAGTCTGTACAGGTCATCTAGGAACTTGGAAATAAATTGTGATCCTCTGTCTGAGATGATGACCTGTGGCATGTCATATTTGGCATAGATCTCATCTTAAAGGATTTTGGCCCATCCTTCTAAAGTTAATTCGGTTGAGCAGGTGATTGGAATGATCACCTTTGAAAATCGATCAACTATAACAATGATTGCATCAAAGCTGTTACAATCCAGCAAGCTGGTAATCATGTTGACCAAGATATGGGTCCATGGTGCAGATGGGATTTTGTTAGGGTGCAAAGGAGCTGGTTGGGCTTGTGTTGATGATTTCTCTCATTGACAGACTTTGCACACCTGTACATATGTGATAATATCATTTGCCATCTTGGGCCACTAATATTCTTATAATATCAGTTCTTTGGTTTTGGCTATTCTAGAGTGACCAGCTGTGATATGATCATAGCAGGTGGCAATGATCTTGCTCTGGAGTTTCTGGTCTCTCAGGATGTAGATCTGTCTATTGTAGCAGATCATCCTCCCTTCCTTCATCATTCCTCATTCATGGTTAAGAGAGGGGGCCACTCATTGGTCCTACTTGTGGCTATTATGAGTTGCACTTTTTATGCACTCATGAATCTTCTCCTCTATTGGCATTATCATGGCTCTAAAGTGCTCAGAGCATAACAATGTTACTCCTTCATTGTCAGCCTCTCTTTGGTCATGGTCCACTCTGCAGCTGAGTAGATTGGCCTTTTTGTTGGCGGTCTCTGCTTTATGATAAAGTGTGTATTGGTATTGGCTTAATTCTGTGATCTATCTGGCCTGTTGATGGTTCAGCTTCTGAGGTTGGCAGAAGTACCAAAGATTTTGATGATCAGTCCAGATCTCAAAGACCTTGGTAGCACCGATGAGGTAGTGATGCCATTCTTCCAGGGTGAGCATGATAGCAAGGAGTTCCTTGTCATATATTTCATAATTCCATTCTGTCATGGTGAGAGCTTTCAACAGGAATGCAACTGGTCACCATTTATTATCTTGCTTTTAGGAGAGTATGGCCCCGATGGCTTCCTCACTTGAGTTGGCCTCGACTCAGAACCTCCCTTCCTGTGTCAGAATAGTGAGTACAACATCTTCAGCTAGTTGATGCTTTAAGTCGTCAAAAGTGGTCTGTTGTGAGATACTCCAAGTCCAAGGAGCATTGCTGGTTAACTGTGTCATTGGTTGGACTATTTTGCTGTAGTTTTAGATGAAATATCAGTAAAAGTTTGTGAATCTGAGGAACAACTGTAACTCCTTTTTCCTAGTTAGTTCTGGCCATTCTATTATTCCTGCAACCTTGATGGAGTCTATCTGTATGCTCTCTTCCAAGATGATAACTCCAAGGTATTCCATTTCTAGTACTTCAAACTCATATTTCTCAGCCTTGAGAAACAATTTGTGCTTCCTCATAAGGGCTAGTACTTGTCATACCAATACTCTATGCTCTTCTTTTATCTTGGATATTATTAGAATATCATCAAGGTAGACAGTGACTTTTTCAGTGGCGATGAGATCTTTGAATATATCATTCATCATCCATTGAAAGGTGGCTGAGGAGTTGGTTAGTCCAAAGAACATAACTGTCAGTTCGAACAGTCTGTGGTTTGTCCTGAATGCTGCCTTCCACTCATCTCCCTTTTTGATATGGACATTATTGTATCCTCACCAGATGTCAAGCTTTGTATAGTACCTGGCACTCCTAAGCTTATCCATCAACTCAGAAATCAGTGGTAAGGGATATTGATTTTTGATGGTCATCTCATTAAGCTTCTGATAGTCCTAGACTGGCTGAAGCTTGCTATCCTTCTTCTTGATGAAGAAGAATGGTGATGCCATGGGAGATTTGGAGAGTCTGATACATCTGCTGAACAAGTTTTTATTTAAAAACTTGTCGAGTTTTTGCTGTTTATTGATGCCAGGTGGATATATTTTACAATCCAAGTTGGCATTAGCATTCGGGATGAGCTTGATGGTGTGGTCTCAGGGCTTCAGTTCTGGTAGCTTATCAAAGCTCTCCTTTTCGAAGAGGTCTTTGAAGTCGCATGCCCAGTCAGGTACCATTTCCTTGAAGATTTTTTCTGCCTTTTGCTCATTGGTCCTGGTGGTCAAATTATTAGTGTGGTGTATGGCCCAGATGCATAGTTTTTGTTGGAGGTCTATGGCAAGAATCATTTTCCCATCCTCCAACTCTTCATCCTACTAGTCTTTGGGATCTTCATCAGAGAGTTCAAACAGGATTTTCCAACAGTGGCATCTTGCAAATGTGATCCATCTGGTCTTCCAATTGATCAATAGGTTGTGACATATGAGCCAGTCATGATCTAGGAAGATTTCTTTTGTTCCAAGGTCTGTGACAGCTAAGTCAATTTGTTCTGAGTGATCACTGATCATGAGTCTCAACTTTACAAATTTAGTAATCGAACTAGCTTGGTTCTTTATTCCATCAGCATTATATACTGGGATTGAGGCTGTGGTGGCTTGGGTTGGGAGTTTGTGCTTATTGATGAAAGTGTGATTAATAGAGCTTCTAGTACACCTGCTGTCAATTAGGGCTATTACTACATGGGTGGTATGAGATGTGAGGGTTTCAATTTGGGCTTTTGTGATTAAGTCCTGCCCAGTCATCTTGGACCTCCAAATGAACTTCTGTAGTTCTCAAAGCTCATCCAGCCACTCCAGAGCTTGGCATCTCTTGGTCTTTCTCATTCCTTCTACCATTTCATTAATGACTTCTTTGGCTCAGATTTTATGGACCTAATTTTTAAGCACAGCTTTGGCTGCTGCTTCATCCTTGGCATCTTTGATGATGTGCCAGGTCCATTCAGTATCAAATAGTTTTAGCCAGATGTTGGGGCTTGCTGCTCCTGTTCAGCCTGAAAGCATTTGAGTTTTTTTATTTTGTGATTCTTTAGTGTGCAATGTAGATAATGGGGGTATATTCAAATGCTCTGGTGCAGTAAACATAGGAGTAACTATAGAAACATTATCAGTCCAACTAGCAGCTGTTAATCACACACTATTAAAGTCCTCAGCCAGCTCAATGGAATCGCTCACTGGTCAGCCTCATCTTTTACCTCCTCCACCTTTGTTTCTTTGCCGAGTTCCTTGTTCTCTCTCTGTAATTCAGCAATCTGTGCTCAGATATCTTTCTGGATTCTCTTCTTCTTTGGATAATCCTTGGCCATGTGGCCCTTCTATCTGCAATTGAAATATTTCCCTTCCTTCTTCATACAGTCAATGTCTATTGGCTTTCTCAATCTGGTGTACATCATTCTGGTGCCTGTTTTTTGAGTGCTATAGGATGGTGAGATTATCGAGGATCCCTGTGGTTTTCTGGCAGTTGTCTCTGACTTGTTCAGAATTGGCAGTGTTATTTTCTTGGGATAGTCCTGCAACATTGATGACTTCACTTTCTGCCTTTGCTGCTCCTTGTACATTTTGATGATTTGTTCTTTCCACTCATCATAGCCCACTGGCATCAGGTCTTTGATACCAATTGCTGAAATCATCATAATGTATAAAGAGAGGACCCCCTTTTTAAGGGCTTCAACCATCCTTCTGGTGTTTCCCATGTCATTCCTAATTCTGGCGAGCTTAGCCAATCATTCGAGCTTGTTGAAGTAGTTGGTTGCTGCTTTATCTGCCATCTTGTATTCTTTGATCTTCTGCTTATATATCTCCTGCACCACAGGATCAATAAACTTGTCATTGAGCATCTGTTTAAATACAGGCCAAGAGAAGTAGTAGTAGTGTTCTCAGGCTGATGATTGGAAATTCAGAGAAATGAGTATCCACCAAGTCTTCACTTTTTCTTTGAGATAAGAGGTGGTGAAAACTACTTTGCTCATATCGGTGTCCAGGTGTCTGATGTATACCTTGAAGTATTGCTTGCAATCGATGAGAAATCGGTTGATGTCATCAGAGGCTCCTTTGAATGACTGAGGCTTCTGTAACAGATCTAGCCAGCATTGGAGCACCAAGGCATCATTAGGCAATGCATCCATAGGGTTTGGCCAATCAGTAAATAGTGGATGTTGCCAGTCAGCTGGTGGTCTGGGAAAGGAATAGAGTGAGTTGTCATCAATGACTGGACTCTCTCATAGTGGTTCATCCTTCCAGACAATTATGCTATTGTGGATCATGAATCTGAGTCATATGGCTTCAGGATCATCTTTGATCAGTTTCTTCCCTGTGCCACTCCTGATTGCTTCATTGGCAAGGGGCTGGACTCCCAATATTTGGCTTTCTTTGCCAGTCCAAGAATTTCAGTATGAGATGAGTACGTCTCAAGGTTGGAGTCAGATCCTAACAAGCTAAGTGGCTGTTGATTGTGCCAAAGTGTCAGAGTGTGAGACAGCATTTTAGACTGATAGTGCCATGTATATGGCTCTTTTTGGAGTGACAGAAGATGTCCTCAGCATTAGTCATACTAGTGTTGGAGTTTGATATGCTGCTAGCCATTAGACTTGGTCTTCAGGATGTTGTTTGTTATATTGGACTGTGGCATAGTTGGTAGCCACATATCTCAATATTTTTACTCTGTCATTAGTATCAGAATAAAGATATAATTGTCCCATCTGTGATGCTACCCAAGTGCTGTCTTGCTATAGGAAGCTTACCTCTCATTGGTAAAGCTCCTGATACTCCCGTTCTCTTGCCTCTTTTATCACTGTTGTTAATTCTTCTTCATTCATGTTCTCAGTTAGTAGATAGGACATTTCCTCTCTGGAGCATAGCAGATTGCTACTCTCAGTTTCCTTATTATCCTCCTCAGAAAAGATGGCAGACAGGTCATAAAAACTCTTCATGTCCCCTAGCTATTAGACTGTCATTTCACTGTCCTGGCTGGGTACTGGGGCCAGCAATGGAGCCTAAGGCCTCAGATTGATAGATGGTGGGTGGTTGGGCTCCGATATGTTGGTCATATCAGTTTTCTCCTGTTGCTCTTGCCATCTCCACTCACTCACAGTAGAGCTGGATGTTTCTTCTATATTCATTATTGAGTAACTGTCTGACCATCTTGCTCCCAAGGAACCCTCAGAGAGTGTGGGTGGAGATATGAGCTGTCCCAGAGACTCATAGTCTATAGTGTCTAAGAATGGACTCATCGTCACCAAATATAATGTCAGCACTTGGGGTTCATCGAGAAGGAGGATACTGTGGAGTAAGAGAATGTGGAGGGATTTTTGGTGCTGTTCCTTCTGCTGTGAGAGTTTTCTTCCTCCAGTGTCACTCACTCCAGATGCTGGTTCCAGTGCTTGGCTCTCTGAATACTGGGCTGAGGTTGGCACAGACAGGGGTGAGGACTGCTGCTCCCTCAGGATAGAGCCCATATTAGTTGGAGACATTGGTCTGATCCAGTTGAGCCCTCTCGATCTCCCACTGCTTCTCCCAATGCTGCCTGTTGTACTCTTTAGCCCACCTCTGTCTGCCTTGCTCAAGGAGATGTTCTTCAAGCTCACTACAAACTGGCTGTAGTGCAGTTTGCTGTCTCTGCTCCTCTTGTCAGAGGGCCTCATCGTAGTTGAAGGGGACATTGGTGTCCCAGGTAGGGAAGTATCTATGTATGACCTCATTCTGGACTTCTCTATTTTGATGCTCATTATTGAGCCAGTCCGAGGATGTCCTCCCCATTCTACTGCTAGTTCTAACTAAGCAGAGGGGAGAGGTGGTGGAGCTCACAGGCTGGCTTCTAGGTATTGCATATCAGGATCTCCCAGCCATCTAAGAGAGACTGAGAGAGTCTCAGGCATAGTCACTAACCCCTCCAGTTGGAGAGGCAGTGGGAGAGTTGAGAGAGAGAGACTGCTGAAAGAAGTCCTCCAGGATATCCTCGTCCTTATGGTTGGGAGGCAGCCTAGTGATCCATGAGTTTTGGAATCCTGTGAGAGGAGCATCATTGTCTCAGCTAAATCATCAGAGAGAGTATCTGTGTCTTTCTTCTTCTTGAAGGTCCTCTTGATGCATGCTGCTAGGCTCAGCTTCTGATAAGAGACTTGATAGGGGCTGGTGGGATGTTCATCGGGAGTCAGAGATATCATAGAGAGAGAGGTCAGGGGTTACATTTCATAGAATATCATAGATATGTTAGAACTTGTTATAATGTCTGATGGCCCAGGCAGTGATTGAATAGTGTCTCCAGCACAGCTGGATGATCACCAATAGTCCTAACAATGTTCCAATGATAGAAGCAAGGAGTTCAAAGAACTTGTGGTCAAAGTTTGAGTCTGATGAATTGATGGAGGGTATTCAGTTTCCTTCACACTAATAGGCATGAGGAAAGAGAAGGTGAAGCTTCGAGCTAATTGTTAGACCCAAGCATCACATGAGCAAAACTACATGATAAACAGATGTCCCTTCATACTTCGAGAGATCAACTGAGTTCACTGATGCAGTTCTGGTCAATGTGTCACAAGATCTGAAGATTGACTTGAGTATAGGATGGTGTGAATAAACTTTAGCTCGAAGCTGAGGACTACCAGCAAGAGTGAGCCTCTTTAAATACTATTATATAATGTACTATTAATACTTTATACTTATTGTGTATCTCTCTGTCCTTGTCACTCATTGTCCTTGAGTATTGTTACTATATATAAAAGGCCAATTGTATGCTTTGTTGTTAGACATCAGTTATATCAAAAAACCATGACGAGGCCTGTTGTGATGACTAAGCCTTTCCCATGGTTCTAAATGCTTGTCTTTGATGCCTTGACTAAGCATAAATAGGGGTTTTAAAAAAGAGAAAATGGAAAAAATCATAACAGGATCAGTATCTTAGTGCAAAACAATACAATAAGCAGTAGTTATATTTATTACAAGTTGAACAGTATATAAATAGGATAGCTCTTGCTGTAGTAGTCCAGCTTTAAGCTATAAGTTTATTTCACACTATCTTCTCTTGAGTCTAGCTTATCTCTGGCCTTAAAGCACTTCATCTATCAGAACACATCAAGTGGACTCTAGCATGACTGTACAAACACAATACAGCACTAGTTTATTATGTGTTCAAGTCACATGCTAGTTAAGTCTAACAATATTTAGTTTCATCCTAGTCTCATCATCCAATGATATAGAAGCTAGAATCCAAATGCTGCCATTCTGCAGTTTGATAGCAGTCAAATGTTAAACCTAACTGGCATGTGACCTAAATGTTATGATTTTCTTCATATCTTATTTCTTTTTTTTTTTATCTTATCAGAGCACTTATCTTAAGTGCTTTCCTGAAGAGCATAGGAAGGATTAGGTAATCACAACAAACAGAGCACTATTGTACTCAGTCACCTTGCCTACAGACAATTCTCCATTATCTTATCTCTGACAACTAGGCAGAATCAGCATTCTAGCACAGAATGGCATAATAAGTAGTAGTTATATTTATTACAAGCTGAACAGTATATAAATAGGATAGCTCTTGCTGTAGTAGTCCAGCTTCAAGCTATAAGTTTATCTTACACTATCTTCTCTTGAGCCTAGCTTGTCTCTAGCCTTGAAGCACTTTGCTTATCAGAGCACATTTAATAAACTCTAGCATGACTGTACAAACATGATATAGTACTAGTTTATCATATGCTCAAGTCATGTGCCAATTAGGTCTAACACTAAACATGTGATAAACTAGCACTGTATCATGTTCATACAGTCATGCTAGAGTCCACTTGATGTGTTTTGATAGGTGAAGTGCTTTAAGGTCAGAGACAAGCTAAGCTTGAGAAAAGATAGTGTGAAATAAACTTATAGCTTGAAGCTGGACTATTACAGTGAGAACTATCCTACTTATATATATTATCTGGATCATGATAAATATAACTACTGCCTATTGTACTATTCTATACTATGCTACTTGTTTTGCCTAGTTGTCAGAGAGTAGACAATAGAGGATTGTTCATAGGTAAGGCAACCAAGTACAATGACACTACCTGTCTGTTGTGATTACATAATCTCTCCCATGCCTGCAGGTAGATGCTTGAGATAAGATAGACAATCTGATAAAATAAGAGCTGAAAAATGATAAGATGAGAAAAAATTGTAACATCAAACACCTGCCAAATGACATGTCCATATGAGAAAATAGCCTTGAAAACCATTAAATGCTGGGTACTATAAGATAAAATAAAGACAAATACTTAAAAAAGATCAATCTTTTATAATATGCAAGAGATAATGTCAGAATTGCATAAATGTGAAGAAGTCAGATCCTATCTCTTGAATGACTAGTTCTGTCATTTCTGTGGCAGTAAATTGAATATTTTGTGGTAGTAAGAAGAAGAATATGGTGGATCCATAAGCATTTGAGTCACAGAGTTGACAGAACAAAGTGGCATCAATACATCATCAAATATCATCACATTCAACTGATTAGGATGAGAGCCACATGTTACAATTTTTCATCAAAACTCTAGCACTTGACTCTCATCTCATAAGGTTAAGCTGATGTTGTGCAAAATGACTTAAAATAGATGGTGTGATGGTCAGAGTTGCCATCAATAGCAGGGACCCTAGCATTCACTCTCTCAGTATTAAATTCACTATTCATCAGGGATCATTGGGCTTTCATAAGCATTAGCTTATCAAGCATCAAAAAGTCATGATTAAAGTCTAAAATCATGATATAGTCAGCCTAGAGTGTGACTAGTCAAGCTCAGAGTGCTTGAAAGACTTAGTATTAGTTTTGAAGTTCAACTAGTTTTGGAGAATATCTAAGTTAAAGTGAGCACAGTAGCTCATACCAAGTCACTATCTTTATATTGTGCCTTTAAACCCCACTAGCATGAGCAATACATCTTGCATAGCTTACTAGTCAAGAATAACCCATTTTTATACAACTTTCTTGATTTACTAAAGTCTGCAGAGTGTTTCTATCATACTCAAAATGCCTGAAGTAGTGCAGTTCTTTTGTGAAGGTGAGTCTTTTAAAATCTGTACCATATTATGTGCTCAACTGTTCTTAATGCAGAGCTGGTTTCATGTAAGTATGCACATCATATGACTGTCAGTGCCATACACTCATACCAGCATGCCAAGGTTACCTCTTGATCATATGGTATGTTCCCTTCATATTTAGTGAGAGGCACTGACTAATAAAGAGACTGATAGGCTGATTTTGTTGTCCATAACCAGTTGGTTAATTTTGCTGGATGACTCGGAAGCGAGCCGAAAGTCGGAAGCGGAGCCGATATTTGTTTGCTAAAGTCTTCTTATTGTGGGAAAATACTTATTTTTATGTACAATTGCATATATTAATCCTGAAATAATGCCACCCAAATCCTGACATCCTTACCGCTGGCCCTTGCCGCAGTACCTCTCTCTTTGATTTTCATTACATCCTGGCGCTCTACAGCCACTAATTCGCTCCATCGGTTGGAGAATTATCGGCTTCGTCGACGAGAAATGGCCAAGTTAAAATCGCAGTCGCCACAAGAATTGTACCGTGCGAGGAGACAGCGGGAGGAGAGGGTCGCTTTGCTTCCACCGGGTCTTATCAACAACGGAAATACGTGCTTTATGAATTCCGTGCTCCAGGGTGTACGTTATTCGTTGTAAAACAGGAGTTTCACTGATCCTATGCTGGCCAGTTAATTGCGACGAGGCTGCTCTCAGATCTCATATATTTCAAGCCCATCTCACCTACTGACCAGTTCCATTCTGAAACCCATCTTGCTTCACGGAGGTCGCCGTTACTCACGAATGGGGTCAAGGCCGCTGGGAAGGATAAGCAGGATTGGGTGGCTACCATGCCCATTGGGGATGTCTTTGTAAATGTAATGCTCAAGGCCTGGGATGCGCAGAGGAATAAGCGGAGGGAGAGTCAGAGTCCGAGGTGTGTCCCGTTCTAACTGTTGCTGACTGAAAGCTGATATACTTCTCAAGGGCACTTCTTGGCGTGCTCGGCCGGAAATACGACCAATACCTTGATTTTGCACAACAAGACGCCCACGAATTCATGCGTATCCTGCTTGACGCTATGCGAATGGAGGAGCTCGATGTATGTATGTCCTTCTTCTGCTGATACTCTTCTAAATGGAATCCAGGTCATAAAGAAACGGCAGCCGCCATCACCGCCCGAGAAAGCCAAGAGACGCCGCAGGCGGACACTGACCTCGTCCAACCAGAAGCAGGATGACGATGACAAGTTGCTGTCCTTTCCTGACATGATCTTTGGGGGCAAACTCACGAGCGTTCTGGTTTGTCAGAAATGCAAGCATGTATCACAGACATACGAGGACTTCAATGATCTCAGTCTCAGTATCAAACTGGAAGACTATGCAAAAGAACGCAAACGTGATCGATTAAGGAACCTAGCGAAACGGCTGACTCCTGTGTTCCCTGCGACATCTAACCTTGGCGTAGACAAGGCACCAGTGCACCGCTCGTCGTCAGCCCCACCGAGTCCTAGGGAACCAGAACATGACGAGCCTCCCATAACAGACGATCCTCGGCGGAGAAGTCTGGATGCATTGGCGGAACCATCTGTGGAGCCACATGTGGAGGATGAAATAGTACAAGATCCGACAGTCTCCGAGGGTGAGAAGCGACTCGAGTTTGGGGATCTACCGATGCCGCAGAAGAAGGATAAGGGCAAAGATGATGGATGGGCCAAGCTGGGCCGCCGATTTAGTGTCAGTGTTGGGTTAAGTAAGGCCGCCAAAGAGCGCAGGAGCCGGTCGAAAGAGAGACGATCTATCCAGGACTTTTCACGTCCAGGTACACCGTCGGCGTCAGCCAGCGAGGACGTGTCTTCTTCTGAAGGGAGACATAGCACGTCTGAGGCACCTTTGATTAATCCAGAGCACCCGGACATACGAGAAGTACCTCAACCCCGTATACGTGCCTTCTCCCCACTCCATGTCATCGGAACGCCGTTATCCAGGGCTTCGAGTACCACGTCCATCCCTCGCATTGTCAACATCACTCGAGGCAAATCTCCCAAGCCTCCGAAGCCATCTCAAGCCGAACAAGCGTATTTGCGAAAGATTCTAGCGGATGTCACGTACCAATCAGCGCCGAATCCCTTTGCTCTTCTCAACCATCTCAATGGATCCTCTTCGAGTTCCCATCACCATCCCAGTCATACGTCGCAGCATATGTGGTTGAAAATGGGTCAGCTTCTAGGTATTGAGGAGTGTTTGAAAATGTTCACTGCTGTAGAAATTCTTGATGGGGAGAATATGGTCGGCTGCAGGAGATGTTGGAAGGTCGCGAATGGGCTTTACAAACCCAGATTACAGCACGATGAAGGGGATGCTGACTCTGATAGCCTTGATAATCACGAATCACCGCCGCTTGAAGAGCCTAGGCTGCGGACGCCGTCCTCAGAGGCATCCACGAACGATCTCCCGACATCTCTATCAAGTCCAAATATTCCGCTTTACTCTCATTCAGAGTTCAGCGACACTGCAGCGTCCATCGTATCATTACCGACAACGATTGCGGGCTCCACGCCGGATTCCGTCGTGGGTCTAAAACACATATCCTCTCCAATGACCTTTACCAGCGTTAACGGTACCTCAACCCCTGGTGGACTGCCAATTCCGTCAATAGCGATGACAGAGCCACCGGGACCTGGCGATGTTCCCTCGGCCCCCTCAGACTCGGATGACGGCCCGAACGATTCATCCTTTCCAAATGGCAATGATAATACCCCTTCCAATGACATACCCCCGACTGAACTATTCGCCTCAAAACACTCTCTTTTACCTGCGCCCACATACCGTCAGTATCAAGGCCGGCGAAGTGTGGATGCTTCCGATGATAGTTCCGATGGTGGCGATAGCGAAGCCACGTCTGGAGAGTCTGGGTCTGCACCGAAGGCCCCCATTAAGAAAAAGCCAAAACCGGTCATCATGCGCCCCGCGTACAAGCGATACCTCGTTGCGACTCCTCCGCCTGTCCTCGTCGTCCATCTGAAACGCTTCCAGCAGATCTCCAAGACGACGATGATTTCCTTTTCAAACGGCTTCAAAAAATTGGACGATTATGTGACGTTTCCCGAGATCTTGGATTTGACGCCTTTCCTTGCGCCCAAGAAGGAGGATTTCTACGACCGAGGGTTCAAGTCACACACAAAAGAGATGGAGAGATGTTTATACCGCCTGTATGCGGTGGTGGTGCATATCGGTAACATGGTGAGTACTATTTGTGCCCCAGGAAGAAAGGAAACTGACGGGATTATAGCTGGGAGGCCACTATATTGCTTATACTGCCCTTCCAAACTCAAGTCCTGGGGAGGACAGTTTGAAGACGCCCACTTCTGCTGATTCAACGCCCCAGAGATCGCATAGACAATGGGCTTATATTAGTGATACGATTGTTCGACTGACGACCTTGGAAGAAGTGCTCAAGGCCAAGGCGTACATATGCATGTACGAGCGGATATGACCCATCGTTTGCATACCTAACTTATTATCTTTCGGACTGTTCATGTAAGTAACCATTGTAACACAAAATAGAAAAATGCGCATTGTAAACGATAGTAATTGGAACCGCGCTCCGATTCCTTTCAAGTCGTATATTTATAGCAGTGTTCGACGTGAATGCGGGTTCCATGAGTAACATGGCCAGGTGGTGTAATGCGGTCTATAACCTCTGCGCATGGAATATGGTGGATTTATATCAGTGGATTGATCTGGGGCCATCATACCTCACTAGCACTCCTAGACACCTTGCCATTCATTTTTACTTCGGTCTATACATATGTGGGTCATTTGGTAAAATCTGAAACAAAGGGAAATGCAGTGTTGTACAGCGTGTCATAGCACTAACTTGCTGGGCCTCTACCCATTGGGTATGAAAATGAGCAGTCACTTTCAGACGGCAACTACAGTGCATCTGCAGGCACCAGGCTCATCGACCTGGTCCAGTGAGCCTATCCCGTAGTGAGATAGTCTGATTTGCGACTGCTTTTTCTCTGCCGTACTGCACACTCCTAGGTAAAAAATATTGTCCAACCATATCGATGAAATATTTTGTCTATACTGATGATGAGTTCTTAATGAAGAACTTCCTACACCAGGAATCAGATTAAAATAGAGGAAAGACTAAACTGTCAATGGTGATAAGAACACAGGCAACAGAAATTCGGTCGTTTACAATCTTGTGCGTACAGCGGTCGTTAGCACATAATAACGGAATATACCCAAAAAGGCGTGGTAGCATGGCCGAGTGGTCTAAGGCGCTGGAATTAGGTTCCAGAGTCCTATTATATAATCCAGTCCTCCGGGGCGTGAGTTCGAACCTCACTGCTATCATTTTGTTGCTATTTTCCAGTAGTGTAAACTTTTGAATTCCCAGGAACCCAGTCATGATTCACTAGTGCCCACTTGGTCCTCATGAAAGTTCCAGGCAGGGCTGATATCAATAACTTGTTGTTTGACTGTTTTTTATATATTAGCAGATACTTAAATAAGTATACACTCTTTTTAGTATTGAGAAACCATGTGAGCAGTTTGCGTTAGCAAACCGTTCATCATGTCCACTTACCGCCCGTAACCACGTATTATGTGTCCTTGGGGGGGAAGGATATCATGAGATGGTAGGGTATACGACAATCATAAGCAATAGATGGATGTTTAGTAGATCAACTTGAAGATCTCGTGCGACACCAGCGAGACATTTGGTTTTCGTTACTCCTGAGACGTGTATATCTTCCGGAGCTGGTCCTCGGTAGCTCGTTCTTCGCAGATAGGATATGCCTCTGTATATTTCAACGTAGTGCGATTGCATGGTACACAACACATGTTCACACGGAGTCGCGCAGAGGGTCGTGTGCTCTTTTTGGCACATCGGACTCGAGAAGTAAGACGTCTCTTCGACTTCTTCATCGCTCTTCTCTGCATCGTCCGTTGCCGCGCCATATTGAAAGGGTCGACGTCAGGACCGGGGGATGTCAGGAAGAAGGGACTACTCACAATTGACGGCGACAACTTGAGATACTCTGGGTCTTCAAAGTCGCAGTTCTTCCTAGAAGACATCTTTGGTTCCAGGGAAGTATCGCATGCGATCGAGTTAAAAGGGACCACTGCTGAAGATCGTTTTGAAGGGCAGTGAGTTCTTGTCTGGCGGAAGCTATGAGCAACCAGTGAGGCTTGATTTTGTTTGGAATATGACGGCGAAGCGTAAACATGACTCTCTGCCGTTTTCGATAGCCTCCGTCTTCCTTTCTTCTTTCCCTAGCAAAGCTACTTTTATCATGTCTAACGAACGATCTGCTGGTGAAACAAGTTCACGAAACCACCGGTTTCTCCTCTGGTGAGCTAGTTATGAGAAAATGAAGTGCACGATGCAGATCGGTATGGATAGGACACAAGCAAGGCAAAGAAGACAGCGCTTGGGGCCGTCTTTGAAGTGGCGAGTACCCATGGTCCATATGCAAGAGGCTACGCAATCTGATAGGGCTTGATGGTGGTCATATGTACTGTTGATTTGCCTTGATTGTGGCGACAAGAAGTTCCTAGAATTACTTTCAATCATAAGTTAACAAGGAAGATTCGGATAGCCGGTACAACGTACCTAGTCTTTGTCCGTAGGCTGTCAAAACTCAGTCAGTACTTACCTGGTTGGATTTCCAAGTGAATTTTCACCCCTCCATGGACCATATTCCAAGCAACGTAAATGGTATAGCTACATAAGATTTAAAAAAGGATACAATATGCAGAGTCCGCTGATTCAATCGTAATCATAATCATATATCATCACTAGCAGTTGAAATCTTCTTCAGTAGATCTTGATAGTCCATAGCTAGTTTCGTGAGAGTCTTACTCCTCACTAGATAGACATGCAAAAAGCATCAGCATCACGAAACTCAAGTGGATCCGTTACCAACATACCAAATTGTGCCAACACAACGTCCTTGAGTAAATCTCGCTTCGACAAGCCGACCACATAAGGCGACCAGGTAACCTCCCGATGCTCATCTGCCGAACGCCTAGGCACATAGACATAAGCACCTGTAGGTGCCTCCCAGGGAGCAGACTCACCAATACACAGGTCCACATAGCTCCTTGATTAACTCCTCAGCCTTGCCCCTGAATCCCTCATCCGCGATCTTCTTCGAATACAACAGCAGTGCCTGCTTATACTCCGACGGACTATCTAACAATTTGGCAGAAAGTAACCGTGTCTCCAGATGTCCCAATGTTAATGCGGTTCCCCACCAAGATGGTCTTGCTTTCTCTGCCGCACTTTCATCAGGCGACTCGCTTACACTTGCCTCCAGTGCAACCAACACACCGCGATTCGCGGACTGTGCTAAGGAACGCTGTCTTCCAGGCCAAACATCAGAGCCGCTCGACCACCATCGGTCCGCAACCTTCACCCAAGTGGAGAGTTGTGGATCATACGAATAAACGATACCATTAGAAAAGTTGAAGATTGGACAGCCGTTGGCGCGGGTCGTGGCTGAGGAGATGGTAACATTGGCTGATAGAAGTGGGGCAATAGATACTGGAGGAAAGAACGATGTCTGTTTATTCACGGACCTGTATTTGGGGTGAGACGGCACGGGCACCGGCAGGAAAAGATAACGCACCAAGAGTACACCTGACCAGACGCGGTGATGACTAGCAGCGAATTCTTCACGCCATCCAGGAAAGAACAAGGTGAACCAAGGCACAAATTCGGCATAATCCTAGAGTCAGGTCAAAGAAGGATACGCAGTAACGAGAGGTAGAATGATGGTACCTTCTTCCGGTATGAGAATAAACGTTTACCGAGCCATCTTGCATAGCAACAGCACAGTAGGACGACGTCGCTTTGATGGCCAACGCCGGCGAGGACAAGTAGTCCAGCCAGAGCGTCTGCTTACCACTCACAAACGACACCTCCGACAAGCCTATAAAAGATCAAGTATTATACCAAAACGAACGGGGTAAGGACACACCGCTTTCTTCCGAGTTCGTGCTTTCAAACAGGCAGTCACTGCCATCTACCTCTGTCGTCGACCTAGTCAAGATGGCAGGAGTTGGCAGAATAGCACCGCTTGAGCCCCATGTCGAGTGAATAGCCATTCCTGAATTTGTAATCTCTGTGATAGGTATGTTGTGACGAGGACGATCCCCTCCCAAAGTTCTGAACACCGGCCGAGAGTCTTCATCTTCATCTGATGCCTTTCTTTTTCCCTTGTTCGGAGACATATCAAACGCGTCAATCGGCACGCCCATATCTATATCCGCATGCCGGGATCTGTAGCTAGGCGCTTCAAAAGGTTGCTCGTTTGGAGTTGGGAAGAAAGACTGCTCGTTCGGAGAAGGGAAAAACGACGTAGTTTGCGACTGATGAGGAGGAGAATCAACAGCCATCTTGGTCTCCTGTATAGGTATCAAAGATGCTCGCTTCGGTCCGGTCATCGGTGTGGCGCCGTTGGCTGCAGCGGGGACTTGTGTAAGGCCTACACGTTTTTTGTTGTTTCGTTTGGCCACGAGCATGTTGACCCGTTCACCGCCGCTCCCATTAACTTGGTTGTCAAATCCGGCAGTCTGTGAATGAGGGTGTGAAGAAGATGGCGTGGAAGGGCTTTGCGTGGGAACGTGGGAATATCCTTTGGGGATGGGCGGCGGTACAAAGCCAAACTTCGACAAGTATTGATCTTGGACTGAATGCGGAGCGATGCCCTCGAGTTCATCCGGTTCGAAGTTGAATACCGCTATTGTTCCATCTGACGATGCAGCATACAGAGTTAGCCCATCCCAAGACCTTGTTCTTGCGTGAGACAAATTACAACTTCAGGCATGTCGAAACTCACCAATTTAGATCCATAATTTGCCTTTCAAAAACTTCCTTGGCAACGATAAGTGGTCGGGCTGTTTTTGTCTGCCATACTGATACCGACCGGTCATCGGCTCCTAGAGCGACGACGGAACAGATATTTGAGGTCGAAACAGGCTGATTTGGATTTCTTAAGAATATATGTGGATTGTAGGCCTGAGATGACTATAAGAACGGTAACATGACTAGGTGAGAGGGAAGCTCACCGCGACTTCAACAGTATTCTCGTGGCCGACTAAGCTAATCTCGGACGTCCATGTGTTTCGCGTAATTACCGCAGCAATGAATACAAATCCTTTATTATTCGTTGCATTCGAGGCAGTAATATGAGCACCGTCCGGTGACCAACTAACTTATATGAGTAGGTATCAGCAGAGATGGAAGGTGGGATACCGACCTCAGCCTCCTGAAAAAAGTGCTCCCCGGAGAATCCTCAAATGGCTTCGTCACTTCAGCTTCAAGAGACCAATCTGTTGTTCTCCAGATCTTGACAGAACGATCATCCGACTGTGTTGCCAAAAACTCGCCTACAGGATCCCAGCATACACCCTTGACGAAGCCCTGGTGCTGATCGAGTTTCCGGAGACGCTCTGGAGAACCTCAATAACTTTCCAAGGAACACAGGCTGATACTCACCCAGTGTATATCCGCACCAGACGATAACCTGCGAGTCCAATCCTACCGAAGCGAGATAGCGATCTCCAGGGGACCAGGCCACATCAGTGACATCTAGAATAGTCTGAAACGCGGCTCAGCGCAAAAACAAGACAGCGCACCACTCTCGTGCCCCGGCAAACGCTTCATGGGTCTCCAACCTTCAACATTGACTTCGTCAGAGCCCCAAACCTTTCCGCGAGCGCTCCTACACCCACGTCAGAAGAGGCCGTCCCGGAAGAGAGAACCCTACTTACGGATCGAGGTCCCAAATCATGACAATCTCGTCATCGCTACCACTCGCAAGCCATCTCCCAGAGTGAGCCCATCGCACACACAAGACCGGACCAGTGTGCATCGATAACGTGCATAGCGACTTTGGTGGCTTGTTCGAAAGCTCAGATGCCGGAACCAAAATCGGTTTGGTGCTCCATATTCGTATTTTGGCGTCCAGCCCACCGGTCGCAATACGAGAGCCATCAGGGTGGACATGTACAGAGAAGATAGAGAGCCGTTTCGCGGAATCGCTTTTCCCAGATGAATCCCCGTGCATCACCCATGCTGGTTTCGTGAAATGCATGTCAGGCAACAATTCCGGTACTATTGCCTTCGAGTTCGGTTCCTATGGGATGCTTTATATGTACAAGATGAAGAAAATCAGAGCCAAACACGCGGAATGTCTACCAAGGGATACCGAAAATTTGAAGGGTAAGCGTTGCAGTGGAAGCTGAAAACGGTCTTCATTTGAATTGCCGGATATGAAAAGTTTTTTATTTAATCAATTTCCTTTCTTTGACTACTACCTCCCATCTTCGTATGTCACCCCAGACTAAGAAAACTTTTGACTACTTAGGCCAAACATTCATTGGACACTCGCTCAGCCCAGAGGAATGAAAATCCACCCTGGTGCTCATACACGGTACTGGGGCTTCACGTCAACCGACTTGCGACCCTTGAATATTGTGTACCGGCGGATGAAGTTGAGGGCTCTTTCCTTTTACTGATCCCACATTTAAACCTAGGTGCGACTCTATTATGACTGTAATTTTCAACGCCAAACAGCTGCTCGTGTTCTCAATGGACCATGTCGACGGTGTGAGTACCAGCTCTGGCGGCCGCAGATGTTTCCCCCACGAGTACTTAATGATAATGGTTCAAATAATCACTCGGTGGAATTACCATCATTCATACATGCTACTCAGATCGTCTCTGGTATCCTACATGACAGTGCCTTAATGTCTCTATTTCCCTGAGCCATATGCCACAACGGTATGTTTACGTCCTGTCCCCTCCATTTCTTTGGGGCATGTTATTGTATCCTGCGTCAAGTGTACTTATTGTTAATGGGTATGATTTTGTGCAGGCCTCAAACCGTTGCTCTGACTAGTTATACCAGAACAAATGAAGACGTCGAGTGCTTCAGGGTTTGTCGGTGAACACTGAACGTTGAATCTTTCTGTCGAACCAGCCTCCTGTATGTTCGACCGGGAGAACATATGGAACAATCCGTAGAGCCAAGGAGTTTTCATTTCCGGTTCCCGTGTTGCTTTTATCTTGGCACTGGACGTGACTCATATACATTCTGCGTATGAAGCTGGGCCCAAGTTTTCCTTCGGGACTTCGCACAATGTCGGTAGCTTCCCCTCTCTCCTTCCTCCCTAGGTCTGATGACGCCAGTACAGCTCCTTTCAGTTCTGAGCGCAGTCTCTACTTGCGGGCGCTGCCAACGTTCTTTAACGACCATTTCACGCTCCTCTTTGTTACCTGGGTATTCTTCCTCGTCTCTGTGTACAACCCATACCTTTCTTCGAACTTCCAATCCTGACCGAATCGACTAAATACCCAAACAGGCCGTAGATGACAGATCATTCCAACACCGAGCCCAAGTATCTGAACTTCATAGCCTAAATACGGCCGTATGTCAGCTGGCAATGGGAGTGCCTTTTCCAATCACGATAAGGCGGGTCCATCCTGGTCATCCCAAATTCCATGAGTTGACTTCGGCTACACCAGAGCTGCTATTCCCGTTTTGTCGCTTTGAATATAACCGCCACTCACTACACCGCACGGCCTCTATTGTGTTGCTTCCGGCTGTTAACCACATCGGTGACAGTCGTGGAAAGAAAATAAGAATCACAGAACGCATGCTGTTCTGTCATTATTGCATTGAGTTAGAACCTCAGCGACCTATACTGCATAATTCGATTGCTATCGTCATCGATAGATGTATTCCTTTGGCTCTTTCCGTTGCTTCTATCCTTCTGAATATCGAGAGCGGCTGCTTCTGATTGTGATAAATGATCCACGGTTTCTTTTTGCGATCCTGGTTTTGAAGTACTCTACGGGTTCTGCGTAATTGAGAACTTGGGACATATATGACACCACCTGGCCATCGACCCGTTCCTTCCACTTTTCGGATGATTGTCATTTTCGAGTCTCCTGCGGAAAGCAACGTTGTCGATTATCGGTCTTTCCGGGATCACTTTGGGGTCCTCCACCGACTGGTGTCATCACAGATGAAGTAGTAGCCATAATGTCTAATAAAGGACTGCACAGGCCATCTTCTGCGCAAGTTCTGTCTCCCACTTATACGCATTAATATGATCTCAATTGCCCTAGTCAAGGTTTTTTTTTTTTTACCTTCGGGGGACCTTAAGACCTCATGACTTGTTCCACGGGATCACGAGTGAGCCACATTATTTTCCATCTTTGTCTTTGTACAGGGCCCTGAAAGGCATATCGCCGCGCCGTATAATCTTCCGAAAGTGCAGAAATATGGGCCGCAAGGCTGGACGATATTCCTTTGCTTTTCCTTCCCTACTCTCAATTGCAGGAGAAAATGGCAGCTGAGAGCCTTCGCTTTCTGTCGTGCATTCGGCGACAGTTCTTGCCGTCGGAGCACAAAGAGACAGGACCATATGGGTCTGGTTCAATTCAGACACGGTGGCCACCATCGCTGAGGTTTTTGGACTTAGTCGCAAGGGTCGAGGGTGAGTCTTATTGCGCATTTCCACGCTCTATCGTTGAATAGACCGAGGGTCTCGGCTTTTGCAACTCCGCCGTGCTACACCTATCTTAGCGACATTCCCATACTTGCATTCATACATGTCTTCTTTTCCCACTGCTCACACTCCGACTGCGATCGTTTTCCGTGATACGAGATAGGGTAACGCTCCTGCGACTTCCTGCATTTGAATAGGCATTTTCCCTACCATATCTGGACGTAATGACGATCTTCACAGACGTCGATATACGAGTGGAAGATAAGGGCTTGGCCTCAATTAATGTGAGTTCCCAAATAGCGTCGGTTTCTAAATAACCTGTGGGATGGTTTGTGAATCAAGGATGGTGGCGTCAACATGAGTTCTCCCGTGATGGTTAGAACACTCCGAGTCCCTTGCGACCATGAAGAAGAGTGATAAACTCAGGCTTCATATATACGACAGTTGAACCATGTCTTGTGGAGGCTGATATTTTTGTAGCGATTGTTGAGCAATTGTGTCAAATATGTCATCCTTGTGGGTCCATGATATAATACAGTAATTCAATTTATTTCTGTGATAATCATACAAACGTTAATCGTATTCCTCGTCCTGCAGGTTTCCGTGACGCTACAATACGGGCGCGTCGCCCATCATTTTTTTGAAAACAAAATATCCATGTGGGCAGGACTTAGCGCTCAGCTCCGGTCGCGACTAGACGATAAATTACATCCTGTATTTCTTCTTGATGGCTGTCCAAGCGGGCTTGGCATCTGCGTTACGTTGCACAAACTGGTCCATGTCAGTTTCAGGTATTCGGTTGACGTCCACACGGTTCCAGTAACGAGGCATCACAAACGTGATATCACGAGCGTCGCGGTCCTGTCGGCTGCTAATTAACAGCGGCAGAGGAGGTCAGAGAGGAAACAAGAACACGAGCATAGAGGGCGTACATCATCCAGCTCTTCAGCTTTGCTCGCACGAATTCGGAAATAGTCAAGAAGGGCACACCGTGTATCTTCATGACTGTGCTACCATCTAGACGACGAGGCCCCGTTTCGCCTGCTGGGAGGATTTCGATCTTATGCGGGATAACACTGTCAACTGGCGTGAACTACGTCCCACCGGTAAACGGTACTCACTTCTATCGCGGGGATTAGTCGACGATAGGTGACATGGAGTCTAAAAACGGAATGGTAGGTTAAATGTATTACAGGACAAATAATAAGATGTCTCACCTGTTTGTCCATGGTGACTGGACAAGGGTGAAATGTTCACTTGTGACGACCGCGTCGCGGACACGACGAAACGGGTGCGCCTGAGTCTGGCCGCCTTCTACAATGCAGAAAATCTCCTACGGACAGGAGGGGGAAATTGTATAAATATTTGATACAAGAGGAACATCATAGAGTAGACGTACATCGCTGTGAGGCTGATTTGCGAGGCACGCCGTCAATACGCTGCCATGGAACGCGTGGGGTACACCGCTGGCGCGGAGAAGGGTAGAAAGGGCATTAGCGGCCTCCAAAAGTCTTCGAGTCTCGGACATTATGGTAGGAAAGGATAGAATGAGGATGTCAAGCACAGGACATGTTACGGCGGATGCTAGGGTGGGGAAGAAAAGGGTATCTAGTTATATGTAATGGAGCCGTGAAGAGCCTCAGGCCCGGAAAAAGAATGGTCAACAGATATGATCTTGACTGCCATCTTTGCTAAAATCGGGATTCGCCGATCGCACAGGGCCCAGCACGTTGTCACAACGTTTCTAATCAGCTGTGAAGACCTCAGCACAAAATGACCCGGAATGAGATAAGGAAAGTTGACTTTTGCAGTCGAATAAACTCAAGATCCGCATAATGAGGTTAGCAGGCAATGAAGAAGTGGATATGTATGGTGTTTCGGTATGTTTTCCAAAATTCGGCAACCAGCTCCGATACCCCGACACCAAGTTTTTCTTTGGAGGGACGGGAGACAAAATTGAAAAATAGACATAGACGTTCTCTTCTACCTACCAGCTCTGATTCCGTCAGAAGGAACACACAGACTATTCTGATTCCGTCCCCAGATCCGTATGCGACTCGCGGTGATCTTGAGCAAATTGGAATGCGGGGGTGGGGAAATTCAGACGTGACAGGCCGTGACATCCTGCGGTCCCAGTTGGGAAATTCTAGGCCTCGGTGACATGCGGCATCTTTCCATCAGCCAAAAGCAACTTCAAATTTTTGAAGAAATTCCCGTCGTTGTGGTCGTCGACAAGCTCTGCGCGACGAGGATCCTGTCCTTCGCGTATGCATACAAGTGCCTGCAGGCAATTGTACAGCCATGTAGTCGCTCGACGTACGGCGATGAACAGCATACAGACGCCCGCAGCCGCTCGTCGTTCAATTTTCACACAATATCACAGGAAGGGTACTGAAGACACTAGTCATGGTTCAGCACGACGTCAAAAGAAGGACTTTTTTCTGTCTTCGCGCGCTTTAGGGGCTCGGTATCTTCGCTGGCCTACTCGAGAGCACCTGGACGGATGTGAGCCGACCGAGCCCCAAGAACAGCTGGCAAAGGCGGATATCCTGGAGAAAGTCATGAAGGGGCGCCAGCCATCGGATCTTATGTTGAGATGTATGTCAAGATTATCTCTGTTTTGCTCGTATGCTGAGAGAACCTTGTAAGGTACTGTCCTGGATGCGGGGGGTAACACTAATCATCTTCACTGTCTTCTTTCATTCTAATCTTACTCTATTCTCTATTCTTGGAAGGAAACGTGAAAACAATATCTGGCCAATTCAAAAAGAGTGATTTGAGCGCAGAACATCGGCTGAATGTGAGTAGCCTGCCTTGATCACATTGCACGAGCTGACACGGCGAGGGACAGCCTCGTGATCTCCGTAAAATTGACTCGAGGGTTCCTAATCTTGTTCCTACTATTCTTGTACGAAAGGAGGCCATCCTTGTACGTGTTTCACCCTTGTTCGCAGTCGCGTGACAACTAAGGGCGGTATCGTTCCTAGGTTAACATTCTTCACGTCCGAGCGCTCGTGAAAGCTGATGCCGTCGTTTTGTTCGACACATATGGGTCCGCTGATTCGCGACTGCACTCGGTGTTTCTGTATCATCTGGAGGTATGTCATGTACTATCATGAGTGGAAGTATAAAGTCACATAATGTCCCGCAGCACAACCTTAAGATGAAAGGCTCCGGACTGCCATATGAATTTCGGTTCGCTACCTTCATCCCACATCGACTGACTTTTCGTTAATTAAAACCCTTCAGGGCCCTGGAGTCCATTCTCCTTTCAGTCCTTAGTGCCTTAGAAGCTGAGATGGTATTCATCCGGAACCTTGTCGGCGGTTTACTCGCCGAGTTGGAAGACGACATTGACCACGACAGCCTTAAACGCCTTCTGCACTATTCTAGACGACTGGCTAGTTTCCAGAGTAGGGCGAAGCTTGTACGCCACTTTTCTCGTTATCCCAGGATCCGCCTTGACGGCTGTTACAGGTTGAGCAAGCTTTAGAGGAAGTTCTAGAGCAAGGTACGCTTTGCGCACCCTTCGGTGAGAAATTCGAACTCTGACTTTTTTAGATGAGGATCTGAACGCTATGTATCTTACCGACAAGAAGAACGGTAACGACCGTGAAATCGACGATCACGAGGAACTCGAATTTCTATTGGAATCGTTTTCCAAGCAGGTCGAAGAAATTGTGAGCGAAGTAGGTAACATCGATGTAAGTTTCTCATCGAGTTATCAATGCCTTTATTCCTCATTGTCAGCTAGACAAACGTGGAGTCGACTCAAGAAATTGTCGAATTGATCCTAGACTCTAATCGTAATTCTCTGCTTGCGCTTGACCTACAAGTAAGTTTCTATGGTAAAAATCTTGACATCGTTAATGTGTATATGCAGGTCTCAATCGCTACTTTTGGTGTCGGCACGGGGGCATTTTTAGCAAGTCTCCTAGGCATGAACGTAAGCCCTTTCGCAGAACACAAGCCGATTGACATATCCCTGATGTCTCTACTTCTTTTCTTAGTTAACAAATCACTTTGAAAGTCATCTGTGGGCATTCTACGGCATGACAGGCTTCACCTCCATCGTGGCCGGTTGTGTGGCATGGGCTGGGCTCCGGAAACTCGCCAGAATGCGAAAAATTGGTCTTTCTTCTAACAGCGGCAAGCGCAAAACGAAACCTTGGCTACCTCTTCCTCTTAGAGCGCGAAAATCGGACGGATGGTCGTAACATCTAATGCAGACATTTAGACCGTAATTGACATGTGTATAATCTTCTTCTTATCTACACCATCTCATTGGCTATATACTAATTTATTCCCTCTGCTATGCTGGCCCTGAAACAGGCGCTCTGTAGAAGACGAAAGATGCATGGAACAAGCGGTGGAAGGCTTTCAAGTGCACACGAGAGGATCCCTGTCCATCATATCCTGAGATCAGTGACATCGATTGTTTATCAGATCTTCCCAAAGGGTCTGGTCCAACTTTTAACGGACAGCATTCGCACTACCTGTGGAGCGGTAGATCAAGCAACCCATACTGAAGAGAAATAAACAATGCAACTAGCGAGCCGACTTCGTACATGATACCCGACTGTAAAATCTGCATCTGAAGATGTCAGAGACAGGCAATCTGGAATTGAATCGGAAGCGCTAGAAGCGCTACCACCACCATCGGTGCAGGACTCGCGTGAACCACACAGAGAAAGCTCGTGCAGATCTTGCGAAGGTTCTGAGGCATGTTGCAAGCGCCGCCATCCAAGTATATCGCCCACATTACGATGCCTTCATAGATTGCAAGCGTGTCGAATCGGGGTGACACAGGTGCGAGACATCGATGACCGAGAATATCGCCACAGTGCCCACATGACCGTCCAGAAAGACAAATCAGAATCGAAAATAGTTAATGCAGCTTTTAATGACCGGGAAGAGGGGCATTGTATTACGTTTCTTTTGATACTGAGGCAGAGCTGTGCTTGGTATCCTCATCACATGGACGCGAGCCACACCCTCGTAGTAAAGGGTGCCTACACCTCAGTCCTGATCCGTAGAGTAAATAATGCTCGTCATCTGTTCACCCATCATTGACGGCAACAGAACGGAACTCAAACGGTCCCGAGATTTAGCAAGGTCATGGAAATCCTGACGCTTCTTAGATGCTTTGCGTTGGGCCAAATAAATAGCGGAGCGTTCGTGGAGCCTCACTTTGGAGTAGAAAGTCCGACACGGAGGTGAGAGGAAACAGGCTTGATCTCTGTACAGTACAGCGCACACGTGCGATATAGCCTACCCGAGAAGCCTGAGGCCTTATCACCAGATGGGAGCTCAGAAGCAAGCACAACTAGAAAATGAAAGGATAAGTGACATACTAAACATGTGTTCCAATATGACATACGGAGAGGTTCAAGGGCAGTAGCTCCTGGGAGAGTGATCACTTTCATGGGGTTATGCTGGCGTTGAATTAGAGATCAATGTCCGGCGGAAATGAGTGGACAAAATGCCACGTACATATGGAAGGCGCTGAGACCAATTTACGGAGTTGTAAAATGAAACAATGAGCCCATCAGCTTTTAGTTGACCGCGGCGAACAGGATTTGAGATCTCAGAAGGTCCGGAGTGTTTACCCGGCCGCTAAGTCTAGTACATGGTCCGGCAGTCCATCAATTGCTAAACCCCTCTAGGCTGTCTGGGGGGTGTCGTCTCTTCAGTCCAAACACTTGGAATGAGGTAAAAAATCGCAATGAATATATACAAACACCAGGAACATATAGTCGTACAGAGAGAGACGAGGTTTGAGAGCGGGGTAGGAAGGGTCAGGTGACCATGAACTTTCCTTATTAGAAGCGACATGGGCTCGTCCAGGACAATCAACGGTTGCTGAAAGAAACTTGAGGCCGGCATTTGTGGCATATAAACTTTTCAATGTGTCATACTTTGTCTGACAGTAGTGCGTATGGCATGTTTGGATTTTTTTTCTTAATAAGTTCCGAGCTGAATTCGCCCGCGCCGTAGCCCATGATCTCCTGGTAATATGATAACGTCGACCTGACGGTTGTCTGGATGTCTAACTGGCGGACAGAGTAATCCATCTGGTCTGATGACACGATGAGTGAGGAGGGGGGACAGAGAGTGGCGCCGCAGCGCGCGTAGGAAGGTACGTCAACACCTAACTCTTTGAAATAGCGTGTCTCGAGTTAGTCCCGAAGCAAATGAGAAATTCGTCTGACAGGTTTGATGCTGAGCTGAGGGAGAAAAATAGGAACGGTCTGAGAACGCGTGTACGATCTGGGATCGAAGGGCCTTAGGCTTTCGAGTCAAGAATAACTTTCGAAACAAGTCACCACTCCACACTTCATCGATCCACGAGTATCTTTCTTGGGCAGTCTAGACGTAGACCCGATGACCAGTGGTTATGAGTGGACCGTCGGAGCACCTGCCGAAATATAAGCTCTTTGGAACGTAAACTGATTCATTATTGGGAACCTTATTACTCCACAAAAACTACGAATATTATCCCGCGTTATATAGTCACAAGAATTTTTGATGCAGAATACCAAATAGACCAATGTTCGGTGGCGTAACGATTAGCTGTGAAAGTGAATTTACATTTTTAGTCTCCATTCAATCGTTCTATGTATGGTTTTCATAATGTGAACCATTTCAGCTTACAAAAATCGGTGTCTGCCACTCCCTTTCGTATTGCGTGACTATAGGTCTGCATGTGTCTAATGCTATTCTTTGGTTTTGAAGGCGACCAGACAGGCCGTTCTCAATTATTATGACAAAAAAACGATGGAGTCATCATATTTGCTTTCCACATCCGAGTCGTCGCGGTATACGGGAAGGTCGGAAATGGAGGACCAGGAGGGTATAAACGAAAAAGGCTGTGCACGTGGCACCATCAACGAACTTGGCAAAACTTCGAATCGGAAGTGCCTGATTTTCTTGGTCGTACCTGATGCCTGTGACGGTTGATGGAAAACGTTAGCTTTAGCGAATGAGAGATGATGATGATATTATGTGTGAGAGGGGCGGTCTGGACAGATTTCCGTTGCATATATTCAAGCATACACCAATTTTCTAAACTCTAAACTTTTGAATTTTCCACCGCATGAGTAAAAATGGTTTATTTGGCGATGGATTTTATAACATATATTCAAAGTCTGTATGCAAAATAAAAATGTCTGAAGGTGAAGAGAAAGACGTCATGATAGTAGGGTGTGTGACAGCATGAGCGATAAATGGATGTTTGGTTGATCAACTTGAAGATCTCCTGCGGCACCACCGAGCCTTTGGATTCTGTCACTGTGTCCTGTAATAGCGAGTGAAAGTGAAAATGGAAAGACACTGCAAAGACCGCTGCAAGAGCAGTGAGAGCTTGGGGTAAGCAAGCAAGGAACACTAAGTTAGCGACATTGTTGGGGATATTGCCGATTATAAAATTGAGTCATAAAGTCCATAAATGTTAGGATATGTACTAATGAGACATGCATGATGCATAGCAGAAATGCTCAAGAAATGTTGTGGTGATGGCTTGGTGGCACTGTCCTGTCATCGTCACAACCTTTCCGAAAATATTCTTCCATCACACGTCACGCATACCGGGAGGGGAGAGCTTAGCCTTGGCTATCTTCACATCCAAAGATCGCACGAAAGGCCCAAGTGACTTCTGCGTTAAAGTATTACTTGGTCAAACTCAGGCTAGGTTCTGCGATTGCTTTCTTTATATCTGATCTAACCTCTTTGAAAATAGTACTTAGCACAAAGATCTCTTGTTTCCTAGTACGTTCTGGTAATTCATCAGCCACTTGTCCCTGTCAAAAGAAAATGCAGTTTTCTCGTTACCTTACGCTGATGAACTATGCCTGGGCCCGGCAACCAACGATCGAAGAAATCTAAAAGCAAAGCTAAACCGTCAACAGCTCCAGCCAGCCCCACTCCCGATGCCTACCTCGGTGACATTGATAACGCTGTAGGATGGAATATTATTGTAAATATTCTATGTGAAGGCTTTGAGCTGCCTGGTGAGTACAATGCGCCTGCGCACTGTTCTATGAATGACCAATCGGCCTACCATCATAGATTTAACGACACGTAGCGGTCTGAAGAAAGTTCACGCAAATTTTGACAGTATATATCGACCTATTGACAAAGTATACGTTAAGCATGAGAGCAACGACAAGATTACAGGGGGGTCATTGGGATCTACGGCAAGTTGTGTGCTGATAAAATATTACGGGACAAGTTATTTGAAAAAGGCAACAACGCGTCTACGGTTTATCCTTTCATGTTATGACTGTTATCATTATTATCAGCCTTTCTGAAGCGACTTTTACCCTTGCTGCATATACAAGATACACGGCACGTCGCTCTGCGCGCTCTTTCCTTGGTCACATATCACGGAGGAGAGGAAATCAGGTTCGAAATTACTCGCCACTCCAACGAACTCGCAAAATCTCTTTCTGAATTTCCCGATGATGCTGCAGGCTCGGAGCTCATTGTTTCGGTACTCGCTCATTCTATTCCTACCGTCGTCATGTTTGACACCATTTCACCCAAACCCGACATCTTTCGCTCTCTTGATATGAACACCGTTATCAAGAAGGTTACGGAAAGCATGAAGAGACCTAATGCCTCAACATATCTTATCAACCATGCCTCCGAGTTCTTAAGCCTATCAACCCTCAACTGCTGCGCTGCCTTCAAACACATTCCTTCTGCCATGACCTTCCTAATTGTCGGCCTCAGGAGCGCTGATTGGGCATTCCGATGTTCTTGCCTGGGCGGCGTTATCCGATTTCATCGACACGAATCCGAAGAGGATACCCGAGCGATGAACCCCATGAAGTTCATGGCATCCATTAGTACAAAGTTTCCCTCACACATCATCTCCTCTTTTCCTACGGTTTCGAAAGTTGTGAGATGTACATGACCCTCATACTTCTTTATAGCAACGTTAATTTGCAATACAAAAAGAGGGCTGAGAACTGAATACCTCACAAAAGCTGAGAAACGTCGCACCGACGTTGTAGACATCCAGTCGAAATGGATTATACGGCGCTGGGGCACTAGCCACCCATGATTTTCAAGCCGCAATGATGAAATGCGCTCAGGATCACGACTTGTACCTGCTTGGACTGTCTATCGTACCCATCATCATTCGCACGGAATATTCGATTGCGGAGGGAATGTTCCAAAGCGAAAATCCTGTTACCGGCCAACGGGAGACCGTGGACGCAGGATTGCCTTTCAAGATGTGGGGGGACTGTCTTCCACATTGTACCAAGGCCATCCGAGCAAAGGGAAACCCATCTGAAGCTGATATTGCGGATATCCTTGATGTCAAGTATTTTATCAAGATGGCACATCTCCCGGCGGCCGTAAATCTAGCTCGGGAATCCCTCAAGCGCAACTCTCACTGCGCTTACTTTTATTACGCCATCATACTCGTTGCAGACCCTGTTCGAGGTCTTCGGGCTGCTAAGAAGGGGCTTGAGTGTAAACAGATCACCCCTTTTATTCGCTTTCAGTTGTTCCAGCGTGCAGTCTCGCATGCAGCAGAACTGGGACTGCAGAAACTTCAGGAGGCAAGTAGGTTTGACGAGGTGCCTTGGCGTGAGGGCGTTGCGTTCTTAATGAGTGCGCTTGAGGACTCCAAGACGTATGTCGGGCAGGTGCCTCCTGATAATCGCCACATGAAGTCTGTTCTGTACTGGAATATCCTTTTGACGTTCGCAATCTAAGGAGTAGATATTAGCATCAATCTCAGAGAGCTCGAGGTGAGCGATATGACACCATGTTCTTTGCCTATCGTTTACCATATTGTCTGTTCATAGAGAACGCGAAAGCAGCTCGAGATCGCAGATGAGATCAGCACCTTTATTGGATCTCCTCCCCCAAAGGCGAACGAATGTTTGGCACAAGAAACTGTCTTGAAATTATACACCAACGCTGCTCAAGAGTGGGAGAGCACCATATCGAATAACGACACTGAATGGGAAGATATTGTCACATCGGAGGGAGTAGATGATGACCTTCATGCGTGGTTGGAGGAGCTGCATCTCGATAACCCCGCGATAAAGGCGAACCCATCATGTCTGCACCCGAAAATTACTTCGAATCATGTCGCACTATACCGGTGCTCGTGGTGTGGTACTCCAAGCGCAGTTCTTAGAAAATGTTCTAGATGTGGACAAACGAGGTGAGAGTATTTGAGGAGCAACTTAGATACTGCGACACTGGATGTCAAAAATCCCACTGGACGGATCATAAACGACAATGCGCTCAACCTTCAGATATCGATTAGACAGTGCTCTTTTTCTTACTTGCCCATGTAACTGTATTGTATTTTTTCTCGATTCCAGTGATATATCGAAAACATTTCGATCAAAGTGAAAAAGTATATTCTTTTTATTCCGTGTTCGTGAAACGGTCAACAAGTGGGGGGCCAAACCTCTGATTTACAAAGGAAAGCATGCGTCATTTTTCAGATTGACCTCTACCACTGCGTTGCTTGGATTCTCCGCCTTCTTAGTAGTTTCAACCGTTCCACTGTCCACGCACTTAGCTTGACCCCGTTACGAAGCCCGACAACAACTGACTTGAGCAAGCCCGTGTAAGCATGATGCTCAACCATGTTCATCACGATATTTTCCTTGCGGTAATCATCCAGCGAAGATAAAACCTTGAGAACGCTGGGGGCCCATACCAACTTCAAATTTTCCAGCTTTGCTTGTTCATAAAGATAAGCGACTAATATCTCTGATATGATGGGGGAGCAATTGGGTCTTCTTTCATTTGCTTCGACGATGGAGAGATGCTTGAGATGTGGTATGCATTTAAGCATGCGGCAAACCTGGGCATCGGTGAAGGAAACTTCGGTAAGGGTGAGGGATGTAATAGGAGAAGGATTCGGGCCGTGGCAGAGTTGCCATAAGGAATTGTTAAGGTCATCCCGGAATGTAGGTACGGCTGAGTTTGAGTGGGGTCTTGACACAAGTTCCAAGGAGGAGAGGCGGGGAAATGAAACGGATGGATCGCTGATGATAGGCTCGAGTAACGTGTTAGTCAGCGTGAGGGATTCAAGGGCCAAAGAAACGGACTTGTCGGAGCTAGAAGCACGATATAGACAGTCGACGAGGGTGGCACGTATGGCCTTGGGGAATATCTTTAACATAGACGAATGAGTATCAGATAGAAAAAGCGTGGTGATCTGATTTCGACTTGGCAACTGGACTCGGAATGCATTGACTGATCCATGGATGTGAAGACGGTCGAGATTTGATGCGTTCTGACACATCGCCCAGGGACAGGTAGTCCCAGCAGACCCGACAGATTTGATTTCGAGAGACCTTAACAAAGGGAGTTGATGCTTAATAGCATTGAATAGCAACCTTCCTCGACTGTTCATGGTAAAACGGATGGAGTGGCACCGATCCAAAACGGATGGTACTGCAATAGCATCGCAAATGGAAGCGAACCTGCTGCCGTCCGGAAATGTCTTGTCATAGTCTTCTTTCCTATATGACGCTGTAAGATGGAAGGTGAGGCTGAGCGGTGAAGACAATGACTGGTAATGATCTATGCGACGAGCGATCCGAGAGGAATTGTCCGGTCGGATACGATGATAGGCGGTGATATGCGTCCAAAGAATGCGCGTTGAAAGACAAACTTTACGCCAATACGAGCACACTGAAGATAATACAGTGGGGATAACTGGTTCCGACTCGGAGCCTGCAGATGTGGCGCGACATGCGTCCTCAAATATGGCAGCGAGAACTTCCGCGGGTAGCATGCGGATAGGCGAAAGAGAAGACTGATGAAGTCGTGAACACTCATCGATCGTCTCCTTGGAAGCTCTGAGCGTCCTCAAGACACTATTAACTCGCAGAATCTCTGCATCATAGAGTGGGATTTGTGAACGGAACAGAGAGAGTTCATCAAGGATCATCTCAGATAGAAAAGACCCATCACGCAACACATCCAAGATGGAGCGTTTGAGTTCTTCGACATCTGCCAGCGCAGGAAGTGTGTTCCCCGAGCTGGGCAACATGGATCTAAAAGAGACAATTAAAACGCATGTATCTAAGCAATGTGGAATACTTACGGGTGCAACGATATGTAACTAGAGCGTCAGATATAGGACTATGGAGGGAAATACTGTCGGTCCTTGGAGGTCGATAAAGACAAAGAGAGAGCAAAGAAAAGAACCTAGACTGATGCTCGTCACCTGACTCGAATCAACGATTGATTGGCAATAAAACCGATTCAAGATTCAGGATTCAGGGCGTGGCGTGGTGAAATTTCGAACGAGGTTACCCTGCCCTGTCCGACAGAGGTTAGGTACGAGGTTATGCATCATTTGAGGGGCTGTCGATAGTATGTCGATAATGCTTTTACTGCACATCATTGTGATATCTTTAAATGGCGTCTATCAACGAAAGATAGACAAATAGTTACCCTAAATGCTACCTTCTCGAATTCTCCCTCTGTAGCAAGCACGACCATCAAACCTGAGATTTCTGCGGGTAAAGGGAGGAAAGCGGGGGCAACTCCATCTAGTGCATCTAGACAGGGTGCAGGAGGACATGCAAGATATTCTTTTATCTGAAAGCGGTCTCTCAGAGCGAAGAAGGGACAAGAACAATGGAAGCAATTACCCTCTACGCCGTTTACTGCTTTTGCTGGCTTCAAGAGCTCCTTCTCGCCGCTCTCCAACTCTTTCCAAGAATTCAATCTTTTCAAGATAGCCTCCTCCCCGTCGATTTGCATCCAACTCATCTTTGAAACTGGAAGGTTCTGCAGAAACATGACTGCGCCAGTCCATAGCAGATTTATCAAGTGTCGTGAGCTTTTTGGGTCTCTGTTTAGAGGGACCAGGCAGGTCATTCAAGGAGAGCTTTCCCTTTCTTGGTCCGGGTTTCTTTTTCGGAGGTACAGGTTTGGAAGCGGGAAGTGGTGATTCAATAGTAGCGCCAAAGTCCTCCGTAGACTCAGAAAATAACGGCCATTTCTTTGCATCTTGAGAGTCTTCAGGGACTTCAACTACTTCTCTGTCGCATTCAGTAAGGGTGAAGCACCATAGAGGTATGGGCAGTGGCCGTACACGACGTTCTCGCCTGCAAAGAGATATCTTTTCTCCACCTTGACCATCTTTTTTGGCATTTCTTGCTGCGCTGTTGTCGAAGTCGATGCTACGGATTCCTGAAACTTCGTCCACAAGGCATTGCGAGCCCTGGAAACCCTGAGGTTAAGGCAGAATGAAGTGCATGGGTAGATGCACACACTGTTTCTGAGCCGTGTCGTCTGTTTCTACTGCAAGGGGTTTCGGAGAACTTGTCCGACGACGTTTAATGTCCCTTTCTGTGTCTGAAGAATCGGACTCTGCTGCAGCACAATGAGCTGAGACTCCCGTCACCGTACGTTGATCAAGGGCGTACCGACATCACCAGCCGGTGGAACATAGTCTTCGTCCTCAGAGTCAGAATCATTGATATTGGACATGTACCGAAAGGAAGCAACGAGAGCGGTGAGTAAGGGCGCTAGACGTCGTGATGGTCGAGGATCAAAGTCACGTTGTCCCTGCCATGACATCCACTTCCTTCGTGAACCGACACCGTCCTCTGATGGAACTCAAGACGGGTACAAAGTCGTCTTTGCTGCAGCAAACTATACACCTTCCTCGATTCCAGTACTCGAGACGGTGCTCACCGATATCAAGGAACTCGCATCGGTAACGGCGAAATCCGTTAGGACTCGACAAGGACCTGGGAACGGGTGTGTCACCTCTTCTTTTCTGCAAGTGGCGAATCTCAGTAGAAATAGGAAAACTGGCGGAGCAGAGTATCACAATATTCTCCTCTTGTTATCGCTACATCGACGGCTACCGAACAAAGGAATAGGTCCGTCGTTCGGGACGAGACATCGAATCCTGTCCGTTGAAGAAGGATCTTCTGTTTATACCCACAACGCACTCGATATCGCAGGGCGATTTTGGCGGAATTATCATGATCAGCGTGCGCTCATGCGATGCCTGAGACAATATGAACGGTGCAGCAAAGGACGGTACGTGTCGCGATTACCTGCCCGAAATTTGGTTCTCAAACTCAGCGACAGAACTTCCGTTTTATGCTGTCGGGAAGGCTTGCCTCAACACTACGTTCCACCACGCCCAATGCCGATATCCATGGAGAATCGTCCGGGACAGCAGAGCAGCTCGCCAAGTTCATTCTTGCAGAACGGCCTCGTCCTACGAAATTACTGTATCTCACTGGTGACAAGATTCGTGACACCCTTCCTAGCATCCTTGGCGGCGCAGGAGTTTCTTTGTGTTCACTCAAGGTGAACGAGACCCAGGGCAACTCTACTTTCCTTCAGTATTTAAAGAAGATCGTACCCGAGAATCGACTGGGCCATGGCGGATTGTGTTCTTTGCACCGTCAGCTGCTGAATTTATTCTACTATACCTGAAGGAACGGTTCGCACTGCATTCAGTGAAGATTGCGGCCATGGAACTGACCACTGCAACGTTCTTGCGTGGGAATTTGGGGACGCCGTCCCTGCCAAACCGTCGCCAGATGATCTACTGAGGGCGATCGTGGACACTGATGAAGTGTCTTGAGGAATAAATTCTTGCTATTAATGCACGCAACACCAAGCCACTGCGCAAAGTATGCTTCGTGCCTCGATTCGTCAGACAGACGATTTTCTCATATATTGTATACTCATATTGCTCCTCCGCTGCGTATCTCAACCTAGGCCGCTTCTCGCCAGACCTTTCCGACCAAAAGGCCAGTGGCATGCGTTCGTGAATATCTCTTTTTCCAAGAGTCCCCGATTTCCAGCCTTTAGACGAAACCATAGATATCAATAACACCGCGTGCAAATCTTCCCAATTTCACAAGGTGCATCCACTGCTGTCCGGATTCATCCAATCCGACCTGATTCAATTATAGTGCCTCAGTAAAGCCGCAGTCAAGCAATGTCGCCATTAAGGTGTCTGACAGCGTAATCGGCATTGTATGGTTAATGGCAACCCGAAGGTGCAAGTAGGCTAACGTATGAGGTGCTAGGACCAAAAACTCTTATCCTGATAGCGAAGGAAGGTATAAATGGGAAGAAATGGCCCATGCGCCATATTGTCTGTGTTCTTCCACTATGGCTACTTCGTCCAAGACGTCACTTCCCGAGGCGCTGCCTCCAAGCCCTACAACATCACTGTATTCCCTTTCCAAGGATGTGGATACGAAGAAAGATACCCCGCTAACTGACGACTTGGTCGATGGAGAGCCGGAGCCTTTCAAATTTTTGAATGTCTTCCGGCGCCGCAAGAATGAAGAACTGGATGCAATAGCTACGAAACGGTCCGTCTTCGATGATCCGGAGTTGGCCCCTCATTATTGGCCCAAGAAGGAGTACGAGAACAGACATCGGTTTGACCCTAATGCGCGGTGGACATACCTCGAGGAGAAGGTACATTGTTTTCGTGCTTTTGCCACCCGAATTTAACTCTCGTCCGTAGGCCCTGGTCCGGAAGATTGATTGGAAGGTCATGCTTTGGGCTGCCATCAGCTTCTCCGCCTTGAACCTGGATCGAAATAACCTTAGTCAAGCAAATACCGATAACTTTCTGCCTGACCTCGGTTTAACCACTAATGGCGAGTGAAATATATTCTCCCACGACTGTGGGATACGGCTCAGACTTTCACCTATACAGATTACAACTGGGGAAATTCGATATTCAAGTTGGCCTTTCTCTGTGCGGAACTGCCTTCTCAACTTGTTTCAAAGCGAGTAAGGCGGCGCAGAATATTCACTTTCTCCGGTTGATGATACATATCCAGGTGGGACCAGATCGTTGGATTCCGACTCAGATGGTTTTATGGTCTATCGTAACAATTGCGCAATTTTGGCTAAGTGGGAGGACATCATTTTTCCTATGCCGGGCATTGTTAGGGTATATGTCTGTTTTCTTCTGTTGTAATGTAATACTCATAACTCTTCAATTATAACAGATTCATTCAGGGCGGGTACGCTCGTTCGACATCTATGTTTACCTTCAAAAGTTTTAAATATCTGAATAAAGGTTTATTCCGGATCTCATTCTCTACTTGTCATGTGAGTTTTGCGTTGTATATGATCACTTCTCCTGTCATTTACATGAGTGACCCATGGCAGACTTCTACACGAAAAATGAACTTCCCTTTCGTCTGGCCCTCTTTTGGATGTCCTCCAATTTGTGCACCATCGTTGCCAGTTTCATAGCCTTTGGCGTTCTCCACATGAGAGGTATCCTGGGAAGAGCTGGCTGGAGGTAAGTTAGTATGCCGTAACACCGTAAATAGCCTTAACTGCTTGTTAGATGGTTGTTTCTTTTTGAGTGCGTGGATCACGACGATCGTTCGGGCCGGCACTTACCTTTTTTGCAGAGGTCTGATCACCCTGATCATTGGGATAGCTACGTTCTTTAGAATGCCGCCCTCTCCTACGCAATCAAAGACATGGTTCCGTCCCAAAGGATGGTTCACCGAAAGGGAAGAGACGATTGCTGTGACACGCATTCTTCGGGATGATCCTACGAAGGTTTGCTTCTCTTAGGCCCAGCGGAGTCTTCATCTCATGGAGTAACCAGGGTGACATGCATAATCGTGAAGGGTTAACACTCAAACGCCTCTGGATTGCAGTTTGTGATTATGATTTATGGCCTCTATATTTCATGTGAGTTTACCTTCTCGCATGAGTCTGTCGTTATAACGTCAAACTCCAGAGGCCTCATGTTCGGTATCCCCACTTCTCCGCCGAGCACTTATCTTACTTTATCTCTCCGTCATATTGGGTTTGTCCATGCGAATAGTCTATCTCGCAGGAAATCGTGCTAACACAGTGTAGGTTCAACACGTTCCAGTCCAATCTTCTTGCAATTCCATCGACTGTCGCGGGCATGATAACTAACTTCGGTATTACACTGGTCTCCGAAACTGTCAATGATCGCTCGTTTGTAGCAATGGCTGAAGACGTTTGGACCCTTCCTTTTCTGGTAGCAATATACTGTCTTCCGGATTCGAGCCAATGGCTGTACTTTGTTCGTTCTCTTCCTTGTGTGTATAGTATATTCTTTTAAGCAAGCGCAATATTACAGGGACTGGCATCGGGCCTGTTGTCATATCCGTACGTCAGAAAGTTTCCGTTTCTGCTATCGTCATTGACGCTAGTATACTTCCCCAGCTATACACATCCAATACAGGTGTTTCTCTTCTCTTTGAGTGACGTTTTCGTCCTTCCTGACATTTGGCTTGCAGGTGGGATGGTGTTCTAGAAACTCCGGTGCAGTAGCTAGCAGGACTGTCAACGCATCACTGTACAACATGTACGCATGCTTTTCTTGTTCCCATGTGTTCCGGACTAAACGCCCTCAGGTTTGTTCAAGCATCGGGCATCATATCGGCGCAGATATACCGCACGGATGACTCGCCGAAGTGTAGGAATTGTTTCCATTCTACGGTTCAGAAGCTGACGTTGACCCTAGACCGGCGGGGAAACAAAATTTTGATTATTATCTGCTGCTTCAACATGTTAATCATGTATCCGGGAACGAAAGCATATTACATCTATCGCAATCGTCAACGGGATAGGATCTGGAATGCAATGACGCCACAGGTAAATATGCTGGTTTTTGGAGACTTTACGTACTGATCCAGTCATCTCAGGAGAGAAAACATTATCTTGAAACTACCACTGATATAGGGAATAGACGGCTCAATTTTAGATTTGCCCACTAGAATTTGGGGCCTTTGGAGATGCTGGGATAAATTCGGTAGATGTTACGGTCACCGTGGAGCTCTCGCAGCACGAATACAAAGCGTTTTCTTTTTGAGCCTCGCAACACGACTCCATGATGTGATCTTCTAAAGGAAACCCTAACCCTGGAAAGAACTGCGGCTCAAAAATAGCCACAATGCCGGATTATCACCGGTGAAAAGGGGTGGCAACGTTAACGTCAACGGCCTTGTACTTATTATTGCTTATTGTTCTTTGCAATCTGAGCGTATATAAGGCCTGATGTCTCTGCTAGCATATTCAACTCCTTTGACTTACGACCATCCCCACTTTCTTTCTTTCCTTCTTCCAACGAGCCCGGTGCTCTAGTAAACGACCTACGATCTCTTCCATCCGTTAAAAGTCTTTCGACATGGTTGCCCGTTCATCTTCATTTGTCCTTGTTGCCACTATCGCTTGTCGCCTGGCATCGGTTGGTGCTGCGCCCACAGGCTTTGGATTTTTGTCAGTCCGAGCAGACTCGAACTCGACTTCAAATTCCTCATCTTCCTCAAGCTTTACCACTTCCAACGGCCTGGAAGCACAACAGCTGAATGCCCAATTTGCATCTCTCTCTGCCAACGATTCTTGTACTAGTGCGTCTCTTTCATTTGTTCTTTTTCTTACTTCTTCTGACAGCTTGTGTTTTTTTTTTTAGCTGGTGATCAGGCATGTGTTAATGGCGGATTCGCACAATGTGTATCATCAGCCTGGGAGGTCACTGAGTGCGCCAGTGGCACCTCGTGCTTCGCCCTTCCCCTGGTAAACTCTGCAGGGACGAGTTTATCCTGTGACAGTGAATCTGACGCATTGGCGCGTATCGAGGCCACTGGGGTCACAGGTGGGATCGATGGGTCGAACTCGACGTCCTCCGCTTCAGCCAGTTCCAATTCGGTCATTTCTTCCGCCTCGACAGTTGCATCCCCCACCGAGACAGCGGCCGCCACGTCTGTCGCGGCCTCTGCCTCTGCGACGACCAGTGCAAGTTCTGACGATGGTGATGATTCAGATGGGTGTGATGACAGAGAGGACGATGGCGCAGATAGCACCACCGAGAACGCCTCTGCTTCCACAGCTGCTGCTGCATCCCTGACTGCAACAGGAGCCGCCGCTTCCGTCTCGGCTGTGAACAACGACGCTGCAGTATCTTCCACCATCATTCTCAAAGCAGCGTCCGCCACTCCCAGCTTGCTCCGTCGTCAAAGCGAGACCGCCCTCAGCAGCACCTCGGTATCTGCTGCCACCGAAGCATCAGTCACCTCTGTGTCAGCGACCGGAAGCGCTTCGGTCTCGAGTGCCAGCGTCATTACCTCCGCAGCTTCTAACAGCTCTGCGACCATCACCTCCGCCGCCGCTGTTTCCACCGTGACTGGTCCCAGCACATCGACCACCACGGGTGCCGACGGTGTTGCGACCGTCAACATCGTCTCGGTAGTGACGATGCTAGTGATGACGGAATTGCCTTCATGTTCTGGCGTTTTCGTCGAAGCCAGTTCGGATGCAGTATCCGCATCCGCGACCGCTGCAGCCTCTTCAGCTGCGACTGTTGTGGGAGCTTCTTCCTCTGCTGTTGTGACTGGTGCTGCATCCGCCTCAGTTGGCAGTGTCGTTTCCGCATCTGCATCTGCAACTTCAGTCATCGCCACTGCCTCCTCTTCCTCCTCCACGAGCGCCGGATTCGTTTTCAGCTTCCAGAGTGCTTCCACAGGTACTACGACTGCTGCTGCCAGTGACAGCACCAACACAGTGGATGTTGCCAGTGCCTTGACGGCTACGATTTGATGAGCATTTTATATCGGCATCATTGATGGACAGATTACTTAGTTGTATTGATTACACTTTTCGCAACCTTTATCATTCATTGTATTCTTAGCGCAAAGCATTTAGATTTCTGTTTTGTCGGAGCATTCCCTGCTTGAAAGTGGGTGTTTGGTAAAGAGTATGTACTAGTGCCCAATAAGTTGAAGTATGTTAAGAGATTGTGGGATGCTATGCCCCAATTCCTTTTCCCAAACCAGTGAGCCGGTCTCAGTGGCACCTTTTATTACAATGATTTTTGAGTACGGATGCAACACAATCACAGAACGCCGCCAAGTATAAATGGCTCCGCCAACCCAAAATAAACCAAAAACGAAAGAAAAAAAAAATCGATGTCAATACAATAATATGAATGCCAGGCCAGAATGCGTGTATGATATGATGTGAAATGGATTTTTAAAAAAAAAAAAGAGAGAGAGAGAGAGAGAGATGTCTAATACGGCCTCATATTCAACGGCGGGCCCCTACTCAGCTCCCCGCCAACTTTTTGTATAATCTGCATCCCCAGCGGCTCGAACGCCTCCCTCCACGCCTGCTTCCTCCTCCTCCCATCAAAGATACAAGCCGAGCGTTCCCCCGACTCGCCTTCCGGCCCAAACACAAACACCTTCTCGTCATTCCACGGCGCTTCGCCGTAGGCAAATGCGATCCATCTCTCCTGCATCGTATCCCTGACGTGCGTATACGACCACTGGTCGACACACGGCTGCATCCACGAACACCCCTCCTCCTCTTCCTCGTCGCTGCTGCTGCTGGTGCTCCCCAGCATGTCATCGTCCTCATCCACATCGTCAAAGTCGCAGAACCCGCTATCGATGGACATCATAGACGACGAAGGCGACCGGACGGATTCAGGCAGCGGGACGTTGTCGAAGAGGTAGACCAGGTCGACGGCGTGGTGCGGGAGGTTGACGGTCGGGCCGTCTTGGTCAAAGACGTACCGCCAGACCCCATGGCCACCGCGATCACGCCGAGCGGACTGGGCTACGCATTCGGTGGGCCATGCGACACGGGCGTCGTTGATCAAGTCCAGGACGCGCTCGACGACCTCGTCGTCGGAGGTGTATGAGGAGATGTCATAGGCGTGCATGAGGTTGGAGCTTTTGGATAGGGACTGACAGACGGCCTTGATGCGGCGCACGACCGCGGGGGCCGTCCATTGGGCGGCGTGCAGTGACCACACGAGCGAGTCGGAGGCACAGTCACCTATTATGAGAGGCTGAAGGTTCGCTGGGGGATGGAAAGTGTTCGGGCCGGCGTTCGGATGGGGCGAGCGCGACGGCCTTTTGGACATCTTGTGCACTGAAAGAAGGTCAGAGAACAGATGGTGGTCTCGGAGGTGCGCATCGTCTGGTTGAAAGTAGGCTCTCCATCCCGGGCGGAAGAAGACACCGTCGTCGACGCTGCGAAGAGTCTGGCCAAACGCGAAGAGCTTGTCGGCATCGATGGTGCGGAGCTGTTCGACTGTAGTGACGTGCAGTGCTGACATGAGTCTAGACAGATGCCATCCTGCGGCTGAGACGTCCGGAGCGTTAGGTTCCAGGATCGCACTCTGGACTATTGCTCGCTGGAAAAGAGGTCTTGATTCATTGGCCTCAGACAAGAGGTGAGATACGATATCAGCCGCTCCCGTCGATTCCCCAAACAATGTTATATTGCTAGGATCGCCGCCAAAATCTCCAATAAAGTGGTGAAGCCATTCAAGTAATTTACGTTGGTCGCGTAGGCCTAAATTGATAAACGTCAACGAACACAGAAATGAGGGGACAATTGATACAATGACAGACCATAGTTTCCCACACCCTCATCGCCCGCAGATTTGTTGTCTTCACGTAACATGGGACCGGCAGCGAAGCCAAGAAGGCCAAGCCGAAAACTAAAAGTAATGTGATCCATCAGAGAGAGAAGTTGGCGAAAAAAAAAAAGAACATCCGGATCTTACTTGAATGTGACCATGATAATCGGTTTGCCTATGCGAATGCTACGATGGACCAATGCACCCGCGTCGTAGACCCAGCTGGAGCCAGTGCCTCTGTCAGCCCCTCTGACGATAATCATCATAAGTAACCTGGGCTCATTGAAAACTGGTCACGAGGCTCACCCGTGCACCCACACCATAATAGGTAAACGGGAGTGCGGGGTAAGACCAGCGGGCGTGGTGATGTTCACGTTGAGGCACTCGAACTCATTTTGCTTCAAGGACTGCTTGGGTATATCATCGTCGCTGAGACCAAAGATGGCCTCTTCGAAGCTTTTCCTGCTTTTGTATTGAGGACATATAGATCTACAGCCGTCCGTGAGCACACAATATGAAACAACAACATCTTTAAAAAAACCCTACCCGTATTTTGTCGCATCCGTTACGGGCTTGTAGGAAGAGAAAAGTTTGGACTGGCGAAAACGGGCGGGTATAGCGGCATATTTAATGCCGCGATACTGATGAACCTGGGCGTCAGGCGTTGAAACCGCATGCTGCACGCCATGAAAGGTAGTTTGTAGTGGTATGTGTTGCACCTGAGGCAATGAAGCCTTGCAATGCATCTGGGCGATAGGCATGCAAAAGGTAGGGATAAGAAGAAATGAAGGGGGAAGACGGAGGGGGACGGTTGCGATTATAAGACAAGGGAAAGGACGTCAAGATCGGGAGAATTTGTATGCGCGGTTGGGAAGCTCGGCATTGGCCAATCTTCACGGAGCAGCTCCATGAATTGAGCGAAACAGTGTCGAAAATCTTACAAGTTGTCTCAGATAGGCAACCAGATCGAAGCATCAGTGATCACACGTGATGACCCCGGTTCTACCCTAGTGAGAAAACCCGCAGAATGGACGAGAACAGACGAGATCGATCAATGCAATCATCTGCAGTGCACTGCCCGGCCTCGACCACCCCCTTTGCAGGAAATGACGCGGCCGTGACCGGTGGTGGTGACGCATACATTGAATACACACAAAGTGACACTCTTCCGTCCACGGGGCCAATGACAGGGAGGCTTCGCAGCAGAGACGGCTACGACGATGGAACATCAACATCTAGGCAATGTAACCAAAAAACATACCAATAGACGAGGGCCACGAATAGAACCCTGGGAACTGTGCATGTGAGTCGTCAAGATCCCGCGGAACCCACTGATGATCCAGAGCAAGTCAGCAACCATCATCATACCTTTGTGGCTCACGTCGAAAAACATGCAACTTCCAAAGCCCAAGTCGCTTTGCCAATCATGATCCGATATGAAAATAATATTGGTAAAACGACAAATAGGCGCCTTAGGCGCGATACACAGACAAACTCTTATGACTGTTACACGTAAATCATGGACTGGTGCATTTCAGAATGAGAAAAGGGCTTACTAGTAACGCTAGCAAATCATGCCGTGAGAGTGAACCGCCGGGGCCCTGAAAGCGGCTCCCCCCCCCCGAAAGCTGACTCCGCGATTTCACCAGCGGTTCATCAAAGCATGTTCCTCGTGCAGAGCTATCAGAAGTATAAAGGATGGGAACCACACAAGGTTTGGATCCTGAGGCGATCCTCAAGCTCATTCATTGGGTTCCCTGCGAAGACTGATCGACCCAGGCCCACAAAAGTAAGAGGCTCAGCCGAGCTAGGGGGGGAGGGGTGGGAGAGTGAGATGATTACAACGAACAGCAGACGAAACTAGCATGAGCGTCAGAAGAAAAAGAGCAATCGATATCGGATTCGGCATAGGTTATCAGTGTATCCCGTTTGTTGTGCGGTACCCTCGAGACAAACATCAATATTACTGGGTACAGCCACTGATCCTTCATCGATCTCCGTCTCCTTTCCGATCTCAGAAAAAAATCCTTGTCAATCTTGTACGGGACTTGATTCTGTCAGATCGCTCGTTTTTTTTCCTGTCTCGACCATTTCTCAGAACCTGTCCAACAATATGAGTTCGTGATGCCAGCCATTCATAGATATATATATACGCAACTAATCTCAATCACACAGACACAGATAGCATTGATGGGCGTCTACTATTCGCGATCCCGAAAAAAGGTGATTGACCATGTTTTGATAAAGACCGCCTCACGGAACGTATATCCAGGGAGGCTCTATGATAAATGTCTCTCTATATTGGCCGGTGCGCGTTCTGTTCAGCAAAGCTATCGAGGCGCGGCTGACTCATATGTCTTATTCCAGGCGCCGACATACAGTTTCGGAGAAACGATCGACTCGATGTCTGTCTAGTGAAGAACCACCCGATTGCACTGTGAAACTTTTCCCCCCGCCAACCTTTCATGTAACCTAGAAATAATGACCACTTTCCCCCCCCCCCCTCTCTCTTTCCCAGTGTCTTTCTTCCCGCAGCGGACATTCCCTCCTTCGTCGGACAAGGCAATGTCGATCTCGGTATAACAGGCCACGACGTCATCCTCGAGGCCAAGATGCAAGAACACGTCACCCAAGTTCTCCACCTCGGATTCGGCAAATGCAAACTTCAAGTCCAGGTTCCCGAAGCGGGGCCCATCAAACACGTGCAGGACCTCGCGGGAAAACGTGTCGTGACGAGTTTCGAAGTTCTCGCAGGTGAGTATTTCGGGAAGCTGGATGCGGACCTTGGGCTCGACGGGGAGAAGCAGACTCACATAGAGTATGTGGGTGGGAGCGTAGAGGCTGCGTGTGCCCTGGGTCTGGCGGACGGAATCGGTAGGTCTTCCTTCCCCCTTCGCCAACTCAATTCGGGCTTATCGATTCCCCCCCCTCTAGTTGATCTCGTGGGTAAGCTAAAAGAAACCCATGTGAAACTCTGCATTCGCTTACGTTACACAGAATCCGGAGATACAATGCGTGCGGCAGGCTTGCACGCAATTGCAACTGTTCTCGATACAGAAGCCGTCCTCATCAAGTCGACCGTTCCTAAACATCCTGCTCTTGATCCTCTCATTTCCCAAATCACGAGTCGGATTGCAGGAGTCGTCGCAGCGAGCAAATACGCCATTTGCCAATATAATATAAGCAGGGATAAAGTGCCCGAAGCTGTCGCTATTACCCCCGGGCGACGAGCTGCCACTATCGCACCTCTGGAAGAAGAGGGTTGGGTAGAAGTGAGCAGTATGGTCGAGAAGAAGAAGATAGCCGATATCATGGACGAGTTGATGAAGATCGGTGCAGAAGATATATTGATTTTCGGCCTGGACAATTGTAGAGTCTGATTCGTCGAGCATTTACTAGATTTCAGCCTAACATTCATAGTATTAAGCTATACTTAGAACGCGGTTATAGAATTAAAGAGTGAACAAAGAAACAAGTAGACCCTGGTACGCATTAGCTGAGAATGTTATACCGATCATATACTCTGCTTTCGAGAGTCGAAAACGCGGTAAGCACCAGGTAAATTCAGAGGAGCTATGATCCCCACAATTCAAAGGGTGTGCGGACCTTCTACTGGAGCACACGTAGCTGATAATCATCATGTCGAGTTCCGTAGGACATGTGTATGTTTCTCCGCGGAATATTCGGAACCGACACACGCCCAATGTATTGTACGTATGGTTAGACGAGTTGACTTGAGCGCCGAACCGATCGCTCAGATGGAACCTAGGTCAAAAATAGACTTAGAATGGGGCCTAGGAGCGACATATAAATGGACGGGAGTACCTAGCGGGTTACAGTAAATCAGAAGCAGGCCCAAATTTGAGCAGAGGTCTTGACACGCAAGATAATCTGTCCCTCACAACGTGGTAGCTTCCGTGAAAAGTCAGCGAATCCCACAGTTACGATATATACAGCCCTGAGCCGCAGCATATCCCACAGCTCTAACAGATATTGGTCCAATGCCTCCCAATCCGCTGCCGTACTGCTCAAATACCAGCGTTGAATGTCCAAAGCGATGATTTCCAGATGGGTGGATTTGACGTTCCGCAAAACTCTCGCCAAATTCGAGGCCGGGTCTACATGTTCGCATTCGAGGAGACGTAAACAGCGCAGCGATGTGTTCCGACTCAAGTCAAGGGTCGTGTCTGGTGTAACACTAAGATGCTCGGTTTTTCTAAAGCGTAAAAGCAACGCACTATTTCCGTCATTGAGGCCGACACAAAACGTGTCGAGGAAGGGTCCCAGGGTCCGCAGGTATCGGTTGACAGAGGGTGTATCTGGGGTATCGATATGCCCCACATCGACGCGGGGTAACAGGGGGACAGGGTCCAGGCGAGAAAGGCAACTTATCAGCTCACCGGGACTCCGGACGTGGGACAGGCCCAGGTGCTTGAGCAAGGGAAAAGCGGGGCCATGTAAGGAGTTTAGCGAAGAACAGCTCCGCCAATGGACACGAGAAAATTGAGCCTCCTGCAATCTGGGGAATAGAGAAATCAGGGATATGATATCCTCAGCCGCTTGAACCGATGTCCTGACGACCTCTAAATGGGTGATGTTTTGGAGTGTTCTATTTGAGATTATGAAGGGTATAACACGGTAGGAAAACTGTATGTGCTGAGTTTGGGAATGGAAATGCAGAGAGGTGAGTTTGGGAAGATAAGGCAGCGACACGGATACATCGTTCCACCCAATGGTATGTGATGGCCCGAATGTGAATTCTGTCCGCAGAGTGAGGCGTCTCAAGTGCTCCCTCAAGAGCGAGTGAGAGTGGGAGATGTCGGATAAAAAATCCTGAATGTTGCTGGGCTTCACAGAAACACCGTGTTCGTCGAACAAATGGTACCTGCTCGATACCGACCAGCTCTTGCAAACGAGAGCACAGGCCTCAAGAGCAGCCTTGTCGTCATGTAGATGGTCGATGACTGTATCCACAATTTCGGGGGGAAGCTCAGGCATGCGAAAAGGATTGGTCCAGGTCGAAAACGCAGTTCCTCGACCAAAACAGGAAAGGATATGTGACGTGACCGTTTTCACGTGATTTAGACGCGCTACGTTACTGTCATGTTACCGCGCCATTCAACAAAACTATTTTCCTCTGTTCCTTTTCTTGTTTCTTCCACTTCATGGCACCAAAACATTTCCCATGCGATTCTTCTTCTCCTTCACATCGTGCAGAAAAGCGAAGGCGTCTTATAGATGCGCCTGAAACTCCAAGAACACCCCGTACTAGCTATCCGTTTCTTCCTTCAAGTTCCCGGAGCTCCAAATGCTGTCAGTCCCGACCGATGGACTCTCCGTCGAACCCGTTCGGAAGAAAAAGGACTGTTGCTCTTCTCAACTCCCTACCCGGTATCACGCCCTTTTCACAGCACGCTATCCTACGATTCCAGTTCATAAGGCCGGGGACACGAAGGGAAGCTGAGGGTGTTTACCGCATCGTCCAGGTGCCACTCAGCTATACCTTCCAGCATATGCGATGTCTCATCTCGTTTCTGTTTGGAGGAGACCATGAAGACATGCAGAAAATGGTGGACATGGACCAATATGAAGACGAGGAGAGGGGCCATTTTTTCGAGGTCAGAAAGAAGATTGTGATGTACCAGCCCAAGTACAGGCAGGCGACTATTCGCTCGGGTGAGCCTTGGATCCGTCTCTCTAGCGCGAAGGATCCGTATCGCTACAAGGCGGACTGGGACTTTGATGATGACAAGGATGGGGAGTCTGTTTGTGGGTCGGAGGAGGAGCAAGAACCGTCTGAGGAAGAAGAAGATCCTTGGCGCTGGGAGGCAGAGGACGAGCTGACTCTCGCGAACCTATGGCCCGATGCGAAGCATCCAGATTTTGACCGTGGCATAATATATGTGCGCCTCGCCCCGCTCTTTTTTCTCCGCCTTCAACTGATTTTTTTCTTTGCTAGTATCACACCTGTTCAACGCGAGATGAGCGACCGACTCAAGTGCACATCACATACGATCGCTCCATTACCCAGCGCCGGAAAGGGCGCGGAAATGCACCATATGTTTTTCGCGCCCGAGGAGACGTCTTCATCTCTCCCCTCGCTGACCTGGGGCCATCTGAAACCAGGGACAAATTCGAATATCCTCTCATGCAGATGTCACGGCACCTCTGGAACGACCCATCGAATGCTTTTGCACGGTACCTTCACAGAAAGGCGGTCCTCCCCATTCCTGATTTTGACGACGACGAAGACCAAGTAGAAGTAGAAGTAGAGAACTCGGTGGGTCTCTGAACTTGCGGGCACTTTTGAATTCTGTGACTCACAAAGATTATCGTAGTACATGTCGACCCCTGGTTTGACGACCTCGCCGTCTTCACCCATGTCATCTTCGTCGATACCTCTGTCCTCTTTTCTGTATACATTCCCTAAGCACACCCCAGGACCGAGACCCTCACAGCGGAAACGTATACGTTACATGTCCAAGCGGCTGGAAAGGTCGGGAAGGGGTGAAGCTGTGAAGAAACTTAGACATGTCCTTGAGAGGGAGGAAAGTCCTGTTGATGATATGGAGAAGAGGCGTGTCATCGCGTCGGAGCGAGGGTATCAGTCTGAGGAGATCTGACCGAAGGTTTTGTGAATTATCGTTACGTAATGACGAGCATTGGATCCATAAGGATCTACAAGTTGCTTTCCTTTGTTATGTCGCAATCTGTACGTATATTGTTCATACCTTCAACGTCTCCGCCTGTCCTGAAACCATATCCTTCATCATCTTCGACCTCGGCTCGATTTTACACCTAGATGGCTGTGGATGACTGAGGTGTCATTCAGTTAGGTATGGATGAGCGAAGAGAACTTGATCATACCTGATGAACGTGATATCCTCTCCATTGACAGGATCCAAAGCTTTTGAAATGTTGAACACAGCCAACGTAGTCGCAATGGCGAGAAAAATGCAGTGAATCTCCGCAAGGTGCATCCCTGGACAGATCCTTTCCCGTAGACTTGTCAACAAAAATGACGGGCCCAACCGACGACGTTAAATAAAACACTAAGGTCCTCCTGCCAAACCCATTCAACACAGTGATACTGTCAAAATTCCATATGAGAAAAAAAATGCTTCGGGCGGGGTAAGCTGAAGATGTCCAAGGTCTTCTAGCTCTTCCTTATCTGCATCTGAGGATGAGATGATGGCAACGGAAGAGAAGGAAGGGGTTCGTCCGGAATTGTGTTTTTTTTTTCCTGGACGCGACATCCTAACATGATTTTAGATAACACCCCTTTCATTTCTACTCCCATGGCCGATGTTTTCTCATTCCTTGACAGTGTCCCCGATGAACCTACTGATGAGCCTGTGATTAAAAGTAGCGTCATACGTCAGAATCTTCAGCGAAAAAAAAAAAAAAAAACGAAAGGCCGCGATTGTTGAAAATGGTGGTCCAGATATGAATGGAGTGGAGGAAGAACCTGCAGGGAAAAAAACCTCGTCTTGATGCATAGATGATTTCGAGACAGGTTAAGCGTGACAGATTTGTGGGGATGTTGTTGATCTTGCTTGGAGAACTGTCATGGGCGCGCTTACCACTGCTGCTAGGAACGCGAATTAATTTCGCACCGCGCTATGCCGTTTATTTTCCCCGGCGCGCTTGTATCCAAAATGTTGTTACTAATACTCTTGCGTCATTCCACCAACCACACATTTCTAACATCGTCACTGTATTATTTTTTGTAGGATTTGATTTGAGTCGAACATAACATACATAGCCTTGCACCGTTTTCACGCGTATAAATCCATATAGACCAAATCAAGACGTCGTCTTCTCCCTCCTTATGGCACAACAAATTGATGGTTGTTCAGCTGATATGTACATGATGTCCCAGTTGCACGGAGAAACGGGACCTGAAATGGACAAAGGTCACATAGAAGAAGCTGATACACAGGTCAGCCTTCACACGGCCTTCTTTGTACTTGCCCGGTAATGATTGTCCTACGTTTGTGCGTATCTACGGATGAAGTTATCAGCTCCCGACTGCAATAAGCGTGGACGAAGACAAAACGTGTGATTTTTGGTCTTTGAAAGCTACCGCGAAGATTGTGAGTAAGGGATAAAGACGCGTCTAACAGAATGCTTACTGGAAGGGCATTATGGTGGTGGTGATGATGGTCTGTGATTATGTCGAGAGGTTCAGCCAACGCCCATGGTCGGACCGTTCGGATTCCCTCTATTTATAGTCAAGTGTTTCGCGATCGTTACCATATTTCTTTTTTTCGTCTCCTGTCGTACCTCAGTCTTTTACAACCATTTGGGTGAAGACCGAGGTATGCCTTTACTTACTTCACACATTGATATAATGCTTATAACTACCTAGATCGTTGTTTTACTAACAGGTACATTCAATTCAGTCTTTTACAACCGTTCGGGTGAAGACTGAGATTGTTGTTTACTAATGTTGGGATAGCAATCCCGAGCGAGTACGAGAACGTACTCGAAGATACGATGCCAGTCAGCGGCAGCTGACTTGGATCGTGATCCGGACTTATTT